GAAGGGTGGGTGGGTGGGTGGGGGGGGGGGGGGGGGGGGGTGGGGGGGGGGGGTTCATGATGATGATGCGTCCGTTTCTTTTTCTTTCTTATGTAGTGGCTTTGGAGAGGGGAGGGGGTGTTGTTTTTGTTCGAAAAAAGGGGGAAAAAAGGCAAGTAATCCCCCCCCCCCTCAAATGGGAAAGTCTGAATCTCTTTGAAGTTCATCGTTCATCTTTCTCTCCTGTTGGATTCTGATTTATCAGACTGCTGAAGGACCGTCACCATGTTGAATGTCTCACATCATCATCATCTGGTATCCATGGAAACCAAAATGCTTTAAGCGCAGTACATCGCTAGCCGTAGCTCTTCGCATTCGTTTAAGAGCCTTTAACTGGGGTGGGTTGATGTTGATTCTGCTGATTCAGAACCGGATCGGACTGGTGGGGAGCGCTTCCGGAAACGTTCGCTCAGCGGCAGCTTTGCAAATGAAGGTTCTGTAAAGAAAACCCCTTCGGATGGCGGAGGATTGTCCGTCCGTTTTACTGGTACTGTTGGGAATTTTTCGTTTTTATTGGACTGGAACAGAGAAAAGGAAGAAAAAAAATGAAGTGTTTTCCTCAGACTGATCCTGAAGCTTGGCCTTTCTGGTTCCTGGGAGTGTATAAATAAAAGCATCTCTGCATCATTCGGCTTTTAGCAAGAAAACAAAAAAATAATGGAAAAAAAATTCCCCATCAGATGTACCGTTGGAAGGATGAAGTGGGTGCACACCTTGTTTCCGTTAGGGTTGTTTATTTGTACGTCGGGGGGGAGGGAGGGGAGGGGTGCACGTCGCCCTTTAGTTGATGGTAGAAAACATTTCTAGTGCGTATTTCAATTATTGGAGTTTCCTTTTTACAATTTTTGTGAATGGTTTAAAAGGCCACTTGAAATTAGTGCATGACTTGAAAAAAAAATAAAAATAAAAAAAACACATGAAGGAAGGAGGATGGATTTCCTCTTCCTGGTTTTAAAACATGAAGTAAGCGTGAGAATGAGACTGGTTTAGCTGCAAAGGTTCATGTAGTGTGTGCACCGGCAGGACGTTTAAAAATGAAGGCCTTATGTGAAACTGTACAATAGTTAATAAATTAAATCTTGTAAAACTTCCTTCGAAGCTCTTCGTCTTTTCATTTGATTGTCAAAATGTAATACTGCAAAAAACAGCAAAATATCTGATCCGGTCAAAGATCCTTAAAAGTTGCCAAACAAATGATAGTTTGTAAAAGATTTCAAGTGCCTTTGTTGATTTTGATGTGATAGAATTAAGCGTCTTTCCCACTGAAAATATTGGGTTAATGTGTGTTTTTCAAACATGGTCGACTCGCTAACTATCTGCATTTAGCTCCCTTCCCATTGGCTAAAAAAGCTGGTCTAACCCCTCGCTGGCAGCTGCGTGGCCCCTGACCCTCCATGGCTGCCTGTCTGGTGACATCATCACGTTGGGTTAGTTTGGCAGCTCACTGAAACGAGTCTGCAAGTGACCTGCGTTAAAATCACCTTGGCTCTGATCGGCATGCTGGTGGTAACACCACAGCCAGGTTGAAATGCTAAATTACATGATACCATTGAAGGCAACGTACAGACGTCAACACACCGCGCCAGTAATTTTTGATCTAACAAGCAGAAACACGTTTACATTCGATAAACATGGAGCAGCTCTGGGGAGAGGGATTCAGATAGATAATAGAGTGAAACAATAAAGCACACTGACTACACCCTGGCTTCCTTACATGTTGCTCTCCATTGTTTACTTTCCTGATGTCTGTCGCACTGGTGACATCATCAGTGCTAGCGTGATGATGTCACCAGACACACAGCGGTGGGGTTAGCTGCCAGTGAGGGGTTAGATCAGCTTTTTTTAGCAAATGGGAAGAAAACCAAATGCTGATTGTTAGCGGGTCGAACCACGTTTGAAAAACATGCACGCTAATTTCAGTGGGAAGAGGCTTTAACATCATGCATCTCCAAAGACCCAGCCCGCACTTACCATATACACAAAACAAAATTTCAAAAACAAAACGCAGATTTCATCTTTGAATGTTTATACTTAAAAAGACAGCAAAACTTTCCTATCCCAAGCTTTAACAATTAAAGAAGCAAATGCCAAAATTACCCATCATACATCCAATTAAGAATGTAATCCTCCTCCAGCCAAACAAAATCTGCATATCCTCTATTTCTGCATTAAAATAAGGAAAGTGTCCACTCAGAAAACAGGCCTTATCTCCATCCTGCAGGAAGGTAAAACACATCCTGGGTAGACATGTTTTAACTCATTTTCTTCCTTTATCTTTAATCCAACTTCCCTCTGACCAGCATCTCTGTCACAGATCAGGAAAAGCCTCCCCATCACTGCTGGTTTTCATTCACACAGCACTTTGTCAAGTAAGGTTTTAACTAGTGTGAAAACCTTCTCCAGGTTGAGTTTCTGGCCTAAATGGCTTTTGTTAAATTTTACATGTGAATCTTTAAGGTCTTCTATAACCTACTTATACCTAGTTCTCTAAATGGAAATTAGAAAAAAAAAAAAATAAAAAATAAATCCAGAAATTAAACTTTGAAAACTTAACCATAACAAAAAGGTTCAGAGTAACTGCCTTTGCTAATTGTTTCAAATTACTATTTTTTTTTATTAGTTTAATCTTTTGATTTTGTTTTTAAAGTTCTTAACATTTTATTTTGTCAAAATGTATTTTTTAGATTGAATTTCACAGCTGGAAATTCATCAGATCTTTTGCAAAAACAGGGTTTGAAGAAATAAAACTTGCAAAACTAATTTTGTCCTATTACCTTTTTATTGTTTTGTATTTGAACTAAAATCAATACAGGTTTTAAAATTAGATACCCCCCCCCCCCCCCCCCCCCCCCCAAGTCACTCCAAACACCAACACCTATAGCAGCACTCTAACCAGAACCATTTATCAGGAAGGGAAGGGATCAGCTGAAGGCTTTTAACTACAGTTTGTTGACTTCCTGATAATAAAGAATTACAATAGTCCAGCCTTGAAGTAACAAATGCATGGACTAGTTTCTCAGCATTACACCTGGACAGGATATTTCTAATCTTTGTAATATTTCTGACATGGAAATGTTACAAACCTCTCATGTGAGATTTGAATGGCAAGGCCTGAACAAATATAACACCCAGATTTTTTTACATTATGTGAGACCAATTTAATGTAGTATTATTCAGTACTTTGTGTTGGCGTATATTAAATAACAGAAGTTCTTGGTTATGTCAGTAGGTGAAGTGCTGCTGAGCAGGAGCTTTAGTGTAAATGCATCGGTGTATGAGACTCTGAGGAACATCTATTATTCACTGCATATCCGTCATGACCGGCTGCACCCCTTTAGGAGGCACCTGTTCGCTGCTGTATCCTTCCGCCTGTCCGGGGGCTCGGGTTTGGAAAGGGTCAATGCGCCACCTTGTGGCGGCTCAGAAGAAGAGCAGAAAAAGATGAGGGCGTGTCGCTTTTTAACAGACTTACGAATCTATGTGCTGGAAGAAGAACCAAACTCCTCCAACTTGGTGGCTCATAGTTTAATATTTTTGTTTTACCTAAATGAGCAGTTTTTTGTTAAGTTGGCATTTTGATTTGCTTGGTTTTTACACTGGGTTCTACTGGTTATCCGTTATGGTCCAAAGCTGTGAGGGGGATTTAATTTGCTGCTTTACTAGAGCTGCCACTAGAGGGCAGCACAAACAGTAGGGGGCGTTATACCTTTTATACATTTTTTTTTAGCTTTATTTAAAATTCGCTTCCTTTAAAAGTGCAGCATTCTTGTAAGAATAAAACTAATTAAAATTATAGAACTTAAGAATTACAAAAGAAAAATACCAAAACTAAACACCGAGATATACAAATTATGAAACTAAGCTTAAAAAGAGAAAAAGAATGTAAAATGGAAGTATAAATGGGTGTTGCAGAGTTAAGTTGTTTGCATAACATTCTTTTTGGTTTTCATAGCTTTTAGATAGTAAATGAAAAAAAAAAAACTCCTATGCATTTCATTACTTTGATTAATATGAAACTAAGACTTAAATTAATTAAGACTTAAAAACAAGTCTTTTATCTTGGAATCTATGAGAGAAAACATTTTAAAAGTAGAAAATTGAAACCTGGTGCTACTAAACCTTGTTGCGGTAAAAGGTCTCCATAATCCGAATAGTTTTGGCAGGTTCAAACAGCTGTGGATTAAACTCATCTAATTAAATTCATTTTTACTGATATCAAGAATCAGAATGGAGCATTCAGATGCTAATATAACAATCTACTAATTAATATTAACATGAACAACATATGGTGACAGTTGTAACAGCAATTTATTTACCAACAAAACTTGTTTTTCATCATACTATTTTTCTAAATTATTACCTTATTCAACTATTTTACTTGAATAATTGTCCTTTTCCTGTCTTCTAGCTTACTGGGGTTCGGGAGGGGACCCCCAGAGTATATGTAGGATATCCTGCCAGCTGAAATACACCTTAAGAGATGTTAAATGGACACCAGACTTATCACAAAATATCCCTTAGTGTATTAATATTCATTAAAATGACTTATATATTTGTAGAGGCACAATAGCTTCCCCAATGGGGTCATGATTGTCACATGATTGGGCTCTCTGACATATTTAAAAAGAGAAATAAACCTTTTGTTTATATTTCTAAAAGATATTTGGGTTCAAGTAAACATTACCGCAATAGTACAGTATTTTTGCTCAAATTTTATGTAAATCTATCCTCCATAAACATCATCAGAGTACATCGCTGTTCAGTCCCCAGAGGATCCTTTCAGCCTACATCTGGTTAACTAAAACTGAGTTACTGAATCATTTCATTTCCCTGTGGGATTAATAAAGTATTTTTTCAATTCAATATACATAGATTTTTATTCTTCTCATTTTGATCCAGAAACGTTGCTCTTATGAAACACTGGTTCTTTTTCTGTGGTGGAAATGACAGGAAGCACGGCGTATGAAAGATAGCTTTATTGCACAAGGTGTTAGAATGATCTTTTTAGTTTTTGCTTTTTCATAGAAAATGTACCTTTGAACACAAGCAATTGCTGTAACAAGCAACTTAAAAGAAATGTTTGGGATATCCTCAGCAAATTTTTTTTTCAAACATTTTTCCATCATTTTTTCCCTTTTAGCAAGCATGCAATGACTTTTTCAAGGGTTGAACAAAATAGAAAACAATAAAAAAGTAAATAGGACAAATGACAACATCGAAATCTGATTTTTTTTTTTAAATAAAAAGACAAGAAATTAACAAATAGTATCAAAAACATATGGGGGGGAGGGGGCGTATTTGTCCATTTTTTTTAAGAAAAAAAAAAATTGTGATGTTATTTCAGTTTTGAAAGAGGGACTTTCCACCTTGATGTGTCCCCTGATTTATTTTGAAGAAAATAGCTCTTCATACAAAACTGTGTGTGATGTTCAAGACTGGACTTAAAAACAACACCGACAAAAGGTAGAGATGATGATCCAGGTGGGTTGGGGAGGTGGTGGCATAATCCTCCGTTCATCACGGTGGGTCGGGGTGGGGGGTCAAAGGCGAGAGCTGAAACGAAGCAGTTCTACAGAACGGCTCTGGTCCAGTGTTTACACAACATGATATCAGTTTGGACCAAAAGAGCCACAGTCCCTGATTTCAATAGGCTGAACCGGTGTAAAACCACAGGCCTGGTACTGCTGGACCTCTGGAAACAAACTGACAGAACTGGAGAGCAATAAAAACCAACAGAACCCCCCCCACCCCCTCAAAAAAAAAAAGAGCAGACGAACAAACAGCAAATGGAGAAATAAATAGTAAACAGGAAACACTACTGTTGGAATGCTTGACAAAAAGGCATCCCAATAGGTTCCTGTTTTCATGTACAATGGTGTAAAAAGGGGGGGAGGGGGTAAAAAAGAAAAGAAAAAAAAGAGGGACATTTACAGTTTTTCAGACAGGACAACAACGAGGATATCAATTCAATGAACATCATATAAACTGCAAAATTGAACTCCCTGACATAGAACATCTCTTGACATTAATATTATTAATATTTCATTCACATTATGACTGGCATTCATTTCAGCTTATTTATTTGGCTGAGAAGCAAAGGACTACATCTGTGATGATTGGCAATCGGCCCCCGCAGACCCGGGGCCCCTCACAGCAGCCCGCGTCTGGGACCGATTTGCAGCAAACAGCAAGAAGGTGTTTCATCCACTGAGATAGAGACACGATGACGGAGAACCTGGGTCTTTTGAAAGATTTCCCAGGTTGTTACGCATTTTTAGGTTTGGTTTTGTAAACCTTTGACTTGCTTGCCTTTTCTAAGCTACTTTGGGTCCGTTTTGACTTAACGTCGAAGGTTGTGGTAACAGAAGAGAGGCGTAACCTTACTATAATTTCTGAATCTAATGGTGGCCCAGGGGTGCAAATGTGCTGGAAATGCATACAAAAGCTGCAAACAAAAACCGACAGAACAGATGCAAAGGAAAGCTGCATAGAAGCGAAACAGGCCTGTCTGATTTTTGATCTGTCCTGTTAATTCTCTCATAGCGGCTGTGGCACCTTCTTTTTGTTTTTAATATATCAAGATAAAGGACAGTAGAAACAGAAACGCTTTGGGTTCCATCAGCACAGTTAGAAGACCAAAGTAACGCTGGGGTGACGGTAGGCCGTCCCCATTCCCAGCCGCTCACTTCCAGCCTTCTTTAAAGGACCTGGTCAACGTGGGTCAGGTCCTTTAAATGTCACACCCACTCTGACGTATTCCTGTGGGCGGAGCTTTGCTGGAAGCAGACAGATTTCCCGAAGAGCTTCAATATGTTAATTAATTGGTGTCAAAATCAAATCTGGATTTTCATGGCTAATCCCTACCAATCCCATGCTGGTTTACAAAGATTTCCTACAGTTTCTTTTTTTTCTTTGCCTCCAGCTATCAGACGTAACTGTGAGGTCAGCAAAAATAGAAAAAAATAAAACGGTTTATAGACCAGTGACATTCTGTTTCTCTCTGTCTTTACTTGCAGCTGTTCTTTTTTCCCCTCATTTACCCTTTGAATCAGCGCCGTTTATGTGTTGCGGCAGGTTTATGTATTTGCGGCACATTTGCATTTTGCTGCTCTCTTCTATTTATAAGATTTCAGCATTTTTTTTCCTTTGTGTTGCTCGACTTTTTGTATTTAAGGTACATTTAATGTATTAGCAGGACGTTTGCACACCTTGTCCACCACAGACTCACAGGCCGACATGCCGGGTAAGAAGATTTCATTATCATATCGTTATAGTGTATCAGCATAGTGATAGTTTCCCCCCCAGAAACACACAAACACATCTTCCCAACCCGCTTTCTGTTAGCCCGCAAACAAGCACTAACATACAGAATATCTCACATATATATACTAAACATTTTCTCTCTTATGTCCGACTTTTCTTAAATTTTCTCTACTTCTAACTTCAATGATTGAGCGATTGCCTCCTTTCTTAAAATTTGCCACTAACAAACTGCTGTATAGAACTATCACTTCGGTGTAGCATATACAGTTTATACTTTGTCATCATTTCCCTTAAATGTCAATAATATACCTACATAGAAATATATATGTAAAATTCTTTATAATACCAAATATTCTCTATTTGCAAGGTGAGAAATTCTAGCTGCTTCATTGGGGTTGAAGAGTTGAGACATGGTTCAGCTGCAGAGAGATGAGTGGAGAATACTAATCCAGGAGGTGAACCTGAATCCTTCATTTTTGGGGGGATCATAATCAAAAAGGGGGAAAATCTGCCTATTCTTGTTGGGGAGAGACACCGAGAGAGTGAGAGAAAACCGGGGACTGAACTGAAGTCCTGCAAATGGACCAAAAATACAAAATAAATAAAAAACTATGAAGGACATTGTGTGTGTGTGTGTGTGTGTGTGTGTGGATGGTCGCACAGCTTCGTAATTGCTGCTATAGTCTTTGTTGTCATGAACTGGGAACCATCAGCTCTTCAGTTAGAGTCACGTTAGCAGGAATCCCGTTCTGTGATTGGCTGTGTGTCTCCTGCAGGAACTGAGTGGAGCTGAGCACCAGCCGGCTGGAACTGTTAGTCGGAGTTAGTAGTTCTCGTATTGAGTTCCATTTTAAACATGAAGAGAAGGGTTAGCTGGGTTTCTGTCTAGAGGGGGGGGGACACCTCCGCCCCCTCTGGAGGAAAAGTAGACAGGAAGCTGGGCGGCTCACCGTTGGCTCGGCTTTCAGAAAGCCTGTTCTGGCCCAGACTGATGAGAGCCAGGGTTGCGCCGGCTGAGGAACGGGGCAGCAGTGCAAGTCTGTGCAGCAGAATGGACTACACCAGCGTGTAGGACTTGGAATAGGCCCCCACGCTCTGTTTCTGCAGCCTCCCCAGGGCTGAGGAGCTGCTCTCCAGCAGCGAGTCTCTGGAGCCGCCCACCTTGTTGCTGCCGGCCGGGTTGCTGCTGGTGCTGGACGTGGAGGCCGTTGCCGCGTTGCTGGAGCTGGGCATGGTGAGAGTCCTCTGGGGCAAGGTGGAGGTGCCCGAGCTGGCCCCCAGGCTGCCCAGGCCGGAGTGAACCAGCGTCAGCGCCTGCTGCTTGGCCGAGTCCAGAGTCTTGTGGCGGCCCTGGGTGTGGTATGCCCGCTGAGTCAGGCTGCGAATCGAGGCTTCCCGCGGTGGCACAGCTGGACATGGGTCATGCAGGGAGTCCCCTTGCTTCCGGAAGAATGGGTCCGACTTCATGTAAAGGGGTAGATTGCAGAATTCACCTGTTGAATAAAAGAAAATACCAATCAGGACAGAATGCATCAGTTTGTAGGGAATTGTGATTTTTATTTTTATTTTGTGAGGAGTCTGGACTGAAAAAAATAAATATAAGCCATTTATTCTTGAAATAAATGTAATTTATCTTGTATTGAGCAAATAAGTAAGGCCACTTATGGAGTTTGATGATAAGAAATAAGAAAAATCCCCTACATTATCTAATTCAAGTTATTCTTATTTTAAGGTTAAAGGAATAGTACACCCAAAACATGATTAGCCTTCATTTTCTACTCACCCCCATGCTGAACAACACTCTGGAGTACTTTTTTGATATCTCAAATGCATCTGGAGATCTGGGAGGCTTCTTGCTGTCTGCTGACATTCAAATAATGGAGGTCTATGGCGCCCGAGGCAGAAAAGTCCATAAAAGTCCACAAAAAACGTGTCAATATTTCTCCATACTGCTCGTCCAATGTATTCCAAGTGTCCTGAGTGGGTAGCGTCCAGAATTTACTCGAAACGAAGTCATTTAGAATGTTTTTAGAGCATAAACAGTAGTGTATAGGATTTCCTGAAAGCGCGCACCTGCGCGTTCACGAGTCTACGGAAACCGGCAGACCAAACCAGACGAAAGTGCGCATTCAGCGTCTGCTCTGCCAATAATGCAAGCGTAGAAGAAGAAATGTGCTGTTTACCTGTGCAAAGAAAGAAACAACGAAAGAAAAATGTCTGAGGACTTCAGTGTTGAGGAAGAGCATGAGTTCTTTGCCGAGCTGAATGCGCACTTTCATCTGGTTTGGTCTGCCGGCTTCCGTAGCGTCGTGATCGCGCATGTGCGCGCTTTCAGGAAATCCTATACACTACTGTTTATGCTCTAAAAACATTCTAAATGACTTCGTTTCGAGTAAATTCTGGATGCTACCCACTCAGGACACTTGGAATACATTGGACGAGCAGTATGGAGGAATATTGACATGTTTTTGTGGACTTTTATGGACCTTTCTGCCTCGGGCGCCATAGACCTCCATTATTTGAATGTCAGCAGACAGCAAGAAGCCTCCCAGATCTCCAGATGCATTTGAGATATCAAAAAAGTACTCCAGAGTGTTGTTCAGCATGGGGGTGAGTAGAAAATGAAGGCTAATCATGTTTTGGGTGTACTATTCCTTTAAATATGCTCATTCAATTGAAAAACCATCTTATTTACCTGATCAAATTAACAGCAAATACACTGATTTCAAGACGTTTTTAAGCTTCTTTTTTAGATCCGTTTTTGCCGTGTAAACCAAGCTGACATCTCCTTTGCCTTCCCTCCAACCTGATATAAACGATCTAGATGCAGCACAAAATTGTGCCTATTTTACATCATTACATTTTAACATAATTTACTGGCTTTAATTTTTCTTGAAGCCAGGCATTATCATGCATATATACAACAAAAATACGCAGGATCATAAAGGTTTAAGAAAAAACCAGACCATCTAAAAATCAGCCATGTTTAGAGACCTGGTTGCTGATTTTTCCTTGGGAGCCAAATAAAGAAGAAACTGGAGCTCCACATCAGGGTTGGAAGTTTCTCCCGGACTGCGTCAGGATTTTCCTCTTTTTATTTTTTTTTCCGGCCTCTTCCAGAAGAAACTTGGAAGGTCAAATTTACTGGAAAGTTTTGTTTCTTTTGGTGAATATTTTGCCCTAAGCAGGCCCAGATCTAGTAATAACCTGGAGGTGGGGTTCAATATCTATAAACCAGGGGGGGGGTTATGGGGCAGGAATAGCGGAAGAAATGAAAGAAAAAGAAATCTGATTATAGAAGAAAGTGTTTTCCTACCATTTAAAGGCTGTTAGTAAATGATCACTTCTGGTAAGAATAATCTGGACTATTGAACTCGATTGTGCTGCTATATTACTGCTGTTCTGTATGTTGAAATGCAGCGTTTCAATAGGGTTGATACTTTTGTGACCAATAGTTATTCGTTCATCTAGATTTGTATTAGATAGATTCTATAAATTCCTATTTTGTGTCACTATGTGTATCCTCATAAAGATTTCTCCTTATGTATTTTTCTTCATTTAAATCTTCTGTTCCAGTTCTGTCTGACTTTTTGTGATTTTCTGCTCTCTGCGGATCATAACACATAACAATAAATAACGTTGTTGGCTCAGAGCAGAGAGGAACTGCTGTCGACTTATACATCTCGATAATGTCAAAATCTACCAACACTCACTTTTGTTCGCCCGGTGGGGAATGGGCACCGCCACATTTTTCCCGCGGTCGTAGTCTTGCGGTTTGGGCGGTGAGGCGGTGAAGCGGCAGATGCCCGGCTCAGACGGCGTGCTGAGGGAGGTCATGCTATCCGCCGGGTCATTGGTACCCGTGGTCATCTGGTCAGACGAGCTGTCCGAGATGAAGCATTCTGTGATGGTGAACTTGGCGTGCTGCAGGTGCTCCTCCAGCTTGGCGTGTTCGTACGCTCGGGCCAGCTCCTCGTAGGTGGAGGACGCGCTCTCCGTCGACACCATGCTGTTCCGACCTTTATCTGGAAAAAAAAGTTCAGGGATTTAGTTTTTTTCAGAATGGGTTTAATCTAGTGTTTCATGGCTGCTCTTGCAGATTTACCCGTGTCCTGCGAGAGGCTGGCGCTGTAGCTGTCGCTCTCCGTGGCGGTGATGCCGTGGGATCCCATCGTCCGCCAGTCTGAGGTCAGAGTCCGAGCCGAAGCTGTGGACTGACTGGGTCGACTCAGCGTCCACTGGCTGGAGTATCTGTTCCTGGAGCTGTGGGCGGATTTGATGCTCTTCCTTGACACAGGGTCTGAGCAACATAGAGATGGGCGTTAGAGCTCGCCATGTCGTCAGTGACCCGGGAGGTCAGGTTTTAACAACATAAAACATAAAACGGACTCACTGGTGCCGGGACGGATGTCAGACATGTCGATCAGAGGCCCTGAGTTCTGGATGAGGGCCTGGTGGTGCAGAGCCACTCCGGTGCAGAAGTTCTGAGGGTTGACGGACTGGCTGAACTCTGTGTCCGTCACCGGCACCGCAGCCTTGTCCTCTCCTGTCGCAGACACACGTATTAACCACCACTCAGACACACGCTGCACTCAGACCTGCTGAGGTCAGTCTGTGGACACTTGCCTATCTGCTTGATTCCCTCCTTGTCCTCGATGAGCAGCTGAACTCGCGGGATGTCGATGTGGAGCCTCGGCCCCTGGGGAGGGCCCTTCACAGGCGTGTCTATGCTGCGGTTGTTCTTGCTAGAAGCACAAAGTCAGAATATACATCAAGTGTGGAACCGTATGTAGACAGTCTGGCCATGGGATGATATAATCATGGATTTATGGATACTACTATTTAAAAATGTTTTCCTACCAAATACGATTTATGCATTGTTTTAATCACTCAAATTTTGTAATATGATTTACAAATGACTTCTAAAAATAGGTTTTATTTCAATTATCCCTCTGAGAGGTGATCTGAATTTAAAGGGAAATTCAAGCTGTTAAAAAATGCTGTAAAACAATAAGATTTCACCACAAACCCTGAAAATAGAACAGACTAAATGTTTGCAGCTGGTGGTCTCACACAGAAAGATAGTTTATCAGTTATTAGGAGAACAGGAGGTGATGAACTGATGTCAGTCTGAGTTATGAAAGCCCAAGAAGAAGATTATGGAAAAAAAAAAGTATCTTTATAAACAAACTATTTGATTAATTGACAAATCAAACCTGTATTCTTCAAATCTTCTTAGGAAAGAAAAAATAAAAGCATCTCTTCCTGCTTATAAGCAGATTAGTGAATAAGCTACGATATTGTGAACCAAGTTAGTTTATTCTAAATAAAGCATAAAGCTGAGAGACAATGTAGACCTTAAAGTACTAGAGTTTCTTTATGGGGTCAAAAACAACATCATTTAAAAAAGTTTTTCTTTAAATCATCAGTCCTTATGATCTAAGATGTTTGGATGATGTTGAGCATGTTAAAGTTAGAACAAATGATAAATATAGACATGTCTCTGTTATTGGTAAATAGTTATGGAATGGACTTCTGCAAGAGTATAAACTATGTACTTCCTGGTCAATGTTTAAAAGAAGGCTCAAACGGAAAAGAATAAGAGACTATCATATGTAAAAACAAAAATATGAGAACACAAATCAGAATTTTGGCTTGATAAGTTTGATTTACTTATAAAAGATGTTAAGCTGTATTAGTAATATTTCTTGGTTTAAATTGGATAGACAACATATAAGCTTTTATAAGCTAACAATTATTTTGCAAGTCGATTAATCTGTTGATTTACAATCGTATAGCCAAATGTTTCTTACAGGAGATTTTTGAAGAAATTAAACAAAGTGAAACTAAAACTTTTGGACAGAGCAGCAGATTGACAGAAAGAAAAGTTTTTTCTTTTTATCTTAAATACAAAATGTTAATATATATTTTTTCACAATTTCTGCTCCAAGTGGGATGCTCTGTCAGCTAAAGGCATGTTTTAAAGTCTCTACACTACGGTTAATGGTTAATTGATTATTATATTAGTTAACAATTATTTCAATAATCGATTAATCTGATTATTTGATTCAGGCCTATTTCAGACTACTCCTTTTTTGTTTAAAAATATTTTTTTTACATATATGTGTGTACAGCAGTGGTGGAGGAAGTACTTAACTGTACTTAAGTATACTTTTAGGTATCTATACTTTACTCCATTACTTATTTTTCTTCCTACTTCTGACTTCTACTCATTACATTTTCACACAAGTATCTTTATATTTTATTCCTTACATTTTAAAACAAACGTTACTCGTTACTCTTGGCTTCAGTTTAATGTTTAGAAATATTTATTTTATGTCCTGTGCGCCATCCAGTGCAGATCATTGGCTCCATTCACATCTAGTGAAAACTAGTGTTATTGGATGAGTCATATAACGCAAACACTCATTGGTTAACTAAAGGAAATAATCTGAAACAAGCAGGTGTTCTTCAAACTGTTAATGTGAATTATCTATGCCATGCTACAATGTAGGATTCAGAAAAAGATGTTGAAATGTCTGAAAGGTCGGACACAGGTGAGAGCGTATCGGGAGATGGAGACCAACAAGACCTCCCTCAGCCATGGCCCTATCTCAGAATTTTTCGAAATAGTCGAAAAATTGAGCTTTCAATTCATATGGTGGTGTCTGGCTGTTTTTTTTTTTTATAAGGTGACTTTATACTTTTATCCTTTAAGTAGTTTTTGGAGCACATACTTTTTCACTTTTACTTGAGTAAAGAGGTCAGGTTGATGCTTCAACTTTTACCAGAGTGTTTTTAAACTGCAGTATCTATACTTCTACTTAAGTAACAAATGTGTGTACGTTTGACACCACTGGGTACTTGACTAAAAGTATTGATACTGATCGTCAAATCTTACTCAACTACAAGTAAAAGTTACTACGGTAAGTCAAAAATCTACTCAAGTTAGAGTATTGAACTACTCACTTTTGAAGATACTTAAGTATTCAAAAGCACATGTATTTAAAAGTACTAAACTATTATAATTTATAGATGATTTAAGAATTTTGACGTTTTTTCTAGATTGTTTTTGCAGTACTGCAGCTCTTCCAGAGAGAACAAGGGACTCTTGTGTTTCTTAATTACTAATTATTACTAATGTTCTCTAAAGAACCCATTTCTGGCCATGTTTATGACTCTTTTCTCTCCATAAATGCCATCTGATGCAGAATTAACGGCCATCAGATTTGATTCTCCTCCCACTTCAGAGTCACACTGCAAAAACTGGAAGTAAATGAATGTTTCTTAAATTAAGTGCCTTTGCCTCTAATTTGATATGAAATATCAAATTTAAATATGATTGTAATAGGTAAGTAAATAAATAACAGGTAAATAAATAAATGATCGCACTCAGATCAAGCCAATGGAATGAGTGCTCTTTTCTTTTAAATTAGATAATCATATATAATGCTCTTGAATTAAGATGGAGCTCATAATTCTGCCATTTCTGAACTTTTTCATTTTGTTTAAGCTTCTCATTTCTGCTTCATTTTATGTTATTCTGTGTTTGTCAAGATTTCTATTACTTTTGAATTCTTAGTTTTACTATCCAGTTATTTCTTTCAGTTATCTATTTTCAGCATGTTTGGTATTATTTATTCTTTGGTGTAGTTTTAGTTCTTTAGTTTTATTTTCTTTAGCTTAATTTAGTTTATTTCCTAGTTACAGTTAGATCTTGGTTATATTTGCTCCTCTCCACACCTGCTCCCTATTAGCTGATTAGTCCATTCATTGTTTGTTTCTCCCATATGTTCACCTCCTTTTTAGTTCCTCTTTGCTGGATCCTTGTCATTCTTTAGGTTTATCCCTTCCTAGTGTCTCCTAGTTTTTTGGTTCTTACATTTTTTCAGGATTAAAGATTTTGTATTTTTAGTTCTTCATAATTTTTTTTAAAGTCATGATCTTTGCCTCTACTATTCGGCATTATGGTCCACCAACCCTGACAATGTTTTGTTTTTTTTCTTATTTAAAGAACAAATTCTCCTTTCCCATTAGTAAATTGTCTTCCTTAACAATTCCAAAACAAAAACCCTACAACAACCCAAATTAAATAATAAAAAATCACTTGGTTATCTTATCTTGGTTATAATTTTTTGCAGTGTCAGTGATTTATCACATACAAACCTAATGATATATTTTAAAGTTTGGGGTTGACAAACAACAAAAGAAGAAAAATACATTTGAGTCACACCTGATGAGCATTTCAGCCAGGCTCTTTGCATCTGTAAGGAGAGAATAATGTCATTAGCTTACAGGTAGCCTCCACTTTAATTGGTTCGTTTCAGCAATAATTTATCAGACATATTTATTTCTCACCCCTGAGCCGTTTAAGCCGCTTCTCCTTGCGTTTCTTGCGGATGATGAAGAGTAAAGCCACGCCTAGAGTGACCAGAATTACAGGAGAGCCGATGGAGAAGAGTTTTTTCACATCGTCCCCTTCCCCACGGGCTGATTTGATGGGCGGGATCGTACCTTAGGAGACACAGCAGCAAGGTTGCGTTAAAAAGGCAGTAAGAGGAAGAAGCAAAGGGGAAAAAAAGAGAAGCACTCACTGCCGTCGTAGTCGGTGGTAGCAAACTGGGAGGTCTGGTTTCCACAGCCGGCGCTGTTGCAGGCCTTCATTTTGAGCTCGTACCACGTAGCCTCTCGCAGCTCACTGAGGAACAGCTGATTGGTGGAGTTGGCCTTGAGGCTCTGCCAGGCCCACGTGCCTTTGGGCCTGAAGTCCAGCATGAGGTCGGTGATGGGGCAGCCGCCGCTGGTCCAGCCCTGCAGGTTCAGTCCTGCGTGTGTGGAGTTGATGTGTGTGAGCAGCGGCTGGTCCTTGTTAAACACAGGCTCTGGAGACAGACCCACACAACACAGAACAGCTGATAAGAAACAGGCAGATCACATAGAAACCAGAGTTCAAAGGTTAGCTTAACATTGACAGGGACGGCATGTTAGACTTCTCTCATCAGGAAGGAACAACAAACATTTTTTCCTTTAATAAATGTGGCAAGCCGGGCGATGGGAAAGAAGGAGAAGATGATGAGAAAAGAGAGCAGAGAAAGGGTGGACTGCTGGAAGAACTGCGGTGAACTGGTGAAAGAAAAGTGAAATGGTGTGCTTAAAGATGACCCTGCGCATTTAGAGGATGTTTGGCTCAACCTGCTGCTGCTTCTCTACTATGACCATAATCAAAGATAAATATCGAGCCAGGCTCACGAATTAGCACCTTGATATGTGCTTAAGAATGGCTTTGTCGCCAATTAAACTCAGGTTTAAAGCCTTGCAGGGCAGCCTAAAGCCCACTGCTCTCATTAAGACAGAAAAAAGGAAGAAACAAACGGTCAGTTCAGGTGTTTTATAAAATATATAAATCAGTTATAATTTATAGTCAATTATACCAAACTGAATGAATGGTGTTCTCTACTTTAATATGGAATAAGATTTTAATATGGAAAAATTTTATATATTTTTTTTAAGTCAATGTAAGTGAAATAAAATGAGGTGTTTATGCATCGATGTTATCATGGATGCATAAACACCTCATTTTATTTCAGCGTTTAATTCTGTTTAAAGTAACAGATTATAATTAAAATGTCTCCGGACCTTTACTGGTTGTTGATTTTCTTTATTTGAACCCAGCTGATTTTTAATTGGATAACCCTGGTCTAAAGGGACACTCAAGAGAAAAAAAAAACTTTCTTAGAGAAAATATCTAGTTGCGCACCAGTTACTCTCTTTCCTGAGCATTGTGGAGAACCATGTTCATTAAAATGGATGTACATGAACTAATTAGGCTATATTTTAAATTTTGGCTACCAATCAAAGACATTGCTGCATTAGTTGCAAGACTTCACCATTATGTTGTGTCTAGACATCACTTTAAATGCATCCTGAAGTCCTGTGGTCTATTTCGGTGCAAAGGAAGCACAAACCTTGATTATGTTGTAGCATTCACTCAAACACAACAGCAAACGATTGGTCAACTGAACGGTTATAGATGGATGTTTACAAAATGTCTGGAAAATGGATTAAAGGTAAAAGAGGAAGGGTTCCATCTGATATGAGAAAGTATTTGGTGTGCACAAGAAATTGTTTATAGAAATGGAATTTGTTAAACCTAAATAAATGAAATGAATTTACCATCTACATTTTTAGGATTATAGTTCTGCATGGCGTGTGATCATCTGTGGGAATCAAAGCAAAGTGAAGGTTCTGATATCTGTCAAGCGGCTCTGACCTCTTCCATGTGTCTTGGCCTCAATGATCTCACTGATGCGACCCGAGCCAACGCTGTTCTTAGCCGCCAGCTTGACTTTGTACCACGTTCCGCAGCGCAGATTATCCAACCTAAAGGAACGCTCGCTGGAGCTGATGAACACATCCCTCCACTCCTCTGTGTTGTCCACAGAGTACTGCAGCACAAACCCTGCAGACAGACAGAGCAGCCTGAAGTCAATGAAGGTTCCTTCCATGAACTACCTAAAGTTACAACGTTTGCACACCAGGTGGCGACAGTTAGCTTGAAATAGTTGCTGCTGGGACAGAATTTCACTTCTTTAAACTCTTGATACACAAGTTTGGTATAAAACTGACTTCAGAGATTGAAACGTGCAGGAATATCCTGTCAGGATCAATGTCTGTGACAGGAAGTGCAAAGGTGGAGCGGCAGATTACCTCTGATCGAACTTCCTCCGTTGTCCCCAGGAATCCAAGCCAGGGTGATGGAGGAGGTGGAGGTGGTGGAGACAGTCAGACGGGGCTGATCAGGAGGAACTGAGCAGGCAAACAGAAACCCACTGAGTCAGCGTTCAGAGCACAGAGCCGTCACAGAGGCAAAGAAAGCTGTCTCTTCTTACCTTGAACCACCAGGTTCACAATGATGGTGTCAAAGCCCAAGGTGTTGGTAGCCGTGCAGGTGTAGTACCCAGAATCCTCTGCTTTGACTGACCGCAGCACCAGCGTCCCGTTGGACAGGATCTGCCGCTGGCTGTCAGCTGTCACAGGAAGGGTGGAGTCCTCGCTGAGAGAGAAAAAAGTCCAACAAAGTTGTTCTTTTCTGTTTTCCAAACTCAAAGATCCAAGCTGCGTTTAATTGGGGGGGGGGGGGGGGGGGGGGGGGGGTGTTCTGACCTGTCTTTGGTCCATTTGATGGTGGGGGCGGGCTCTCCTACTGAGCTGCATGGCAGACGCACTTCCTTCATCCAGGGTGTGGTCACCGTCCCCCCGAAGGAAAGGATCTTGGCCGGAACTGGACAGACCAACATGGAACAGCTCAGTTTGACCTGGAGCGCAGCGTGTGCGCCGTCAGCTGGGGGGAGGAGGGGGGCTAAGCAAGATGTAGCCGAGGGTTTTAGTCTATTTTTCCTTCATAGATCCTCCCTTTGATTGGTTTCTGCCGCCCTCCTCTCTCCCTGGGGGTCATTTTACTAGATAGCTCCTGTTCATCACCACATAATTAACAACACAATGTAGCCAGGCCTCGATCAATACAGCAGCTGTCAATCAATAGAGAGGAAATGTAGACGGAGAGGAGAGGGCTGAGGGATGAAAGTGACCCCCTCCCCCCCCCGTAACCTTTACCCAGCCTCTCTTTACACGTCTCCTCTGCAGGCTCACCTTTCCCAGCAGGTTCCACGGTGACCTTTGCGCTGATGTTGCCTCGGCCAGCGGTTGTCACCGCTGCAGACCAGATGTGGTACTGCTTGCCACGGCTGAGGTGCGTGATGCGGTAAAAGAGCATCTCGGGGTTGGCCTCGTACTCGCTGGGCGCCTGGGAAGGAGAGCACGCCATGTCGTGTTAGGAGGTAGCAACAAGACCAGAGAGGGAAACTCAAACAAGACATTTTAACCTGTCTGACATTATCACATGTTCAACTTCTTAAGAGCATCACCTGCAAAAATCTAAGTATTTTTCCTTGAGTTGAGCTGTAAGTAAGGCAATTTTACAATTAACTGATTTATGTTTAAAATAGGATAAAGACAACTAATTTTCTTAAAGTGAATTATATCACATCATATTATTTTTAAGACAGACATATTCCATCTGTTGGAAGGTCATCTTATTTACCTGCTCAAATTATGGATAAAAACACTTATTTAAAGAAAAAATATATATTTTACATAATTTTAGATCCGTTTTTCAGAGTCCTGTGATCAGAACTGACACATTTTTCATTAACTGGATCCAATCAGGGATCAGCAGGTTATAGACTGAAAAAAATCCAACTTCTTTTCTGTTTCTTAATAATCATTTATCATTAGTTTAAGGTTGTGGTCCAAGTGTTTTATTTGTTTTACTACCTGCTTTTATCTTCATTTGTTTTATTCTGCTTTTATTTTTCTCCTATTTTATCATCTAATTCATGTTGTCCTTGTTCTGAATTGTGCTATAGGAATAAACTTGCCTTTTTTTAAGAACATAAAAGCTAAAACTATTTTTAGGCTATAATGGGATCAGCAAAGAGAACAACTTCATCATTTTTATTCATTTTCTTTACCCTAATCTGGTGCTATTCCTAATTGTTTTGCAGAGACACTTTGCAGATTTCTGGACAGTGGTGTCACAGCTCCAGGGATTTGTTATTGAGTCTAATTTTTTGCTTTTTGTATTTATCTGAATAATTTGATAGAATGGGCTTTGTTTCCTGTCTTTCTCTACTGGATGAACTGATTAATCCAGGCTCGAACTCAGTAACCATGACAACACCTGGATTAATCACTTCATTCAGGAATGAAAGACAGGGAACAAAGGAGCTGTTTAACAGGAAGTAGTGGAGTTTAGGGCTGCAGCTAACAATTATTTTGCAAATCAATTAATCTGTCAATTTTTTTGATAAATCGGATAGCCAAATTAAAGAAGATTTGACAAAATCAAACCAGGTGGTACTAAAACTTTTCCACTTGAGGAGTTCTGGAAAGAGCAGATTGAGAGATTAAGACATTCTTAAAAATTATATATTTTTTCATAATCTTGGTATAAATACTACTCTAACTGGGTCGCTCTGTCAGCTAAAGGGAAATTTAGAGTCTCTATTCTCCAGTTAACGATTAATCGATTACTAAATTAGTTGACTATTATTTCAATAACTGATTAATCTGATTAATTGTTTCAGCTCTAGTGGAATTGTGCATAAAGTCCATTTTCACTGTGGAATACGGCAAGATGAAGGTTAATTTGAATTGGCTCAAATAAATTGAATTTGTATGAGAAAAAAAACTTTTTAAATGATTTTTTTTCCACTTTCTTTGCCAACGCAATTATGACTAAGTGTATAAAATGTGTCCTTTTTAGCTGCATGTAAAGCCACCAACCTCGAACTCATACAGTCACTAATAAACCTCCTCATCAGTTTAGCTTAAATGCTTAACATCATTAAAGATTCTGGATCATCTTTCTGAATCATGCTAGAGATTAGTGTTTTATTTTTCAGGACAATCTGAATTTACTTTGAATAAATTGATTAAATAAAGCTGATTTCCGGCCTCCAGCACTGAAACATTGTCACCTGCAGACAGATTAATGTAGAAACGTTATAAAAAGGCAAACATGCACTTTTCTGCACCAACAGGAAAACAAACCAACTCGTCCCTAAAACTGGCAGCTCGTTCTGTTTCTTATCCTTTAATTGCTTCACTCTCTCCCTCTCTGTGTTGCTTGGTAAAGAGGAGGGGATGGATGGTCAGAAAGCGGGGAGTGTTTGTGTGTTTCTGTGCATGGGGGGTTCGAACATTCCTCTAGCGTTGCGGTGGGGTTGTGGTGATCCAGGGAGTGATACAGGGGAGATAATGAAAAGACGGACAAAGACACTCTCCTCTTGATGTGACTGATACCCTCCTCTGCTCCTCCCTTCCACCCTGCCTGTCCTCCCTCCACCCCCCCATTTCCCTGTGGTGTCTCCCTACCTCTAATAGTGTGTCTCTTTTTCCCTCTCAGACTCCTCTCCCCCCTCCTCCTGCCTTTCCTGCCCATGCTCATTTACATGGCACTCATGCACAAGGAGGGAGGAATATTTGCGAATAATAAGGAAGTGCGAAGCATTCCTTATAGCAGACTTCGCTGCATGCTTTGCAGTGTATGTGCACATAATCTAACCCAAATTGAAAACGCTTCACCAATACGTGTATAAATAGAAAATGTTGAAATGTGACGTGTGTGTGTTTCTGATGCGGCAGTCTGCATGTGTGAGCTTGTTCTCAGCCTCATTTGCATATCTACGTCTCATCACGTTGCCAAGACAACCTCATCTGTTCATCTGGGAGGGCAGGAAATAAAGCAATGGTGCAAACACAGTGAAAGAGAGACATGCGCAAAGACACACACACACACATACAGGTTCAATTAATTATAGTGGTGACAAATGAATCATTTCCTTCGGCTGATTTTATCAACTGGGTTTTACAAGCAACGGAAACATTTTTTCTTGTTTTAATTGACCCCCATAGATGAAGGACTCACCGGCTGCCCAGATCCTGGACTGGAGCAGTAAATGGTGTATTTGCGGATAACGCCGTTTGGTTTGAGAGGCGGTAACCAAGACACGACCACGCTGCTTGGAGAGGAAGGAACCGCCTTGATGCCGGCTGGCGGACCGGGAACTGCAGGAAAAAGCAGATCCGTGTTACCAAACACTGGAAGGCAAATTCATGTCTGCATCAATTCATTTGGGTCCCACCGATTCCCCACTAGTCCCCAAAAACATCACAAACATCTCATGAATTGAAAGTCTTGATTATTTCTGAGCTAGCAAAGATTTTTAAATCCACAAAACACAATGTGATTCACTTGATGCAGTTAATAGGTTGCAGAGGATAATTAAATATGGTATTCAGGTAAAAGGGGCCATATTTGATTAAAGAAATATCTTGTAAATAGTGATTTTAGAGCGTTTTAATTCAAAAATGTAACAATTTGATTTCTAAATTAAAAGTTGAATAAAGGTTTAATTTGAAAACTTTTACCCATCACTTTAACATATGTTTCTTTAACCAATTCTACTTGTTCTGTTTTATTGCAATATAACTGATGTTGGTTTGGTTTTAATAGTGTTCAGTACACTAAGGCTGATCAGTTTATTAGATTTTTATTTCCTAAACGAGTATATTAACTTAATGCCAGTGGATGCAGTTGTTGTTCATATGTTCATAGACGTGTCCAGGCAGGGACCAATGAGCACTGAGGGGCTCTGAATACGGACAGGTCTATGCTGATCGCAATAAATCAACAGGGAAATGATAGATGAGAACATCTAGATTTTCTAAATAAATCACTGAAGACGAACCAGATTTTCATTAGACCCTTACTATGAAATCTAAGCACATACTTTTATATTGGGGCTGTTTTAAAGGAAGTGATAGGATCAGATTTACGAGGTATCAGCAGCCACAACAGAGCGTGTGGACAGTCTTCACGGACAGACTGAATTCAAAGATCTGCACCGGTGATTTTAGAGGGTGTTTTGAATAGATGTTGGTCATTTAGTGACTGCAGAAGAATGGTATCTTCTATCCCTGACAGTGTTTGAAACAACTATTTCTTCTTTTTCTGACAAACTCTAACTCCATAAAACTTAAGAAATAATTCATAAATAGCGTGAATTCTGTATTAGCCCTCTTTGAATATATGGTAGTTTATTGTTGTGAATAATTAATTGCTGATATACCAACTAATACATAAACCAACTTTAAAATGTTAAAGTAGGATTATCACTGCGTGATCCGTATCATCAGCTCATTTGCAACCAGAAATACATCCGGCTTGCCTTTGACTTTACTTTGTAAAAAAGACCCAACTTACATGTTCCCCTCCCTAAAAACAGAAAGCGTATTAAACTATAATATATAAAAAGTTAATAATTTATATTCAGAGAAATTAAATGCTTTTAAATCCTTTCTGTTTTATGACTCGTCTCTGCCCATCTGTAGTGGACATGGGATCCTATGCTACTTTGGATTTAAACATAAATCTAGTCTTTATGAGTTTTATTTCTCCTTTCATGTTTCGTATTCAAAAAATGGTACTAAGTGTGTAATCTAAAGAATAGAAAAAACTAAAATGCAGATAAACATGGTTTAACTTATTTTGCCGGACTACAGACACTGAGCATGTCCCATGATGAGAAAATATCAAAAACATCACATTGTCTCAGAAAAGTGATTAAAATGTTTTTAAAGATGTTTAGCATTTTTTTGTGATTTAAGGATAAAAATAAATACTTTTAGCACCATAATTACATTATTTATGGCGACCAAAGAACCAAATCCACTGTACATGGGTCGCTCACTTTGCCCTTGCACCACTGCCGCGCCCCCGTGGCCCAGGTTAAGTGTTGGGAACAGCGACTTTTTGCCTGCACATTTTGAGGGTTCAAGTGTGGAGCATTCAAAGGGGCAGACGCTGTATTTGGGAAATCTTAACATTTGCAGCTTGATGCAGATTAAATCAATCTACAGGGACAGACACAACATCCAAGCAGTGATCTCTCCTCCTGCAAAGCTGTCAGCATCAAAGTATGTAAGTATTGAAAAATATACAAAGGGGTTAAACTACACTGCTTTTATACAAATAGCCACAAAAATCTATCTTTTATGTACAAGGATAAATACAATGATCACTATTACTCTACAAAAATATTTTCTACCGTGTTGAAAGAGTTTATAAGGCCAACATTAACCAAACATCTCAAACCTGCAGGCAAAAAAATATTTGTTTATATTCTGGTACTTTCAGTTTTTGGTGCAGACTAAAAAGCTTTATTTTCAGGCAGCAGGAAATCTCAGACAGAACGGCTTCAGAAAGCTTCTACTTGACATAACATTGGGCGAATGCTCTGGTATGCTGGGGCTCTGTCGCTTTCAACAACCTTGGAATATACAAAACTAGGATCAAAATCCTGATGAACTGACTATGGAGATGAAGGTTTGAGGTTTATTGTCTTGTTTAAAAACGTGTTAAAACTACTTTTTTTTCTCCACCCATTAAAACAAATAAAGCCAAGTGCGCTCTCTAGAATTAATCTGCCACTGTACAAAAGTCGGGAAAGTAAAAGGACAGATCAGCTAAAGGCCATTGAAGGAGCGCCGACCATCCACAAAGCACTAGATGTGCGTCTGACTTTATCAGAGGCGTCAAGTAACAAAGTACAAATACTTGGTTTCCTTACATAAGTAGAAATGTTGGCTATCTACACTTTATAGGACTAATTATTTTTTAGTAATATTTTTATTTCTAATCTTTAAATTTTTTTTTTGCAATTATCTCTACTTTCTATTATTTACTTTTTTTTTTAATAGAATTTTTTTTTTTCTCCATTGAAGCTCATTTTCGTTATGACCTGCTGGTTTTTAAAACAAAATAAAAACCATCAAAATAATTTGTTTCATCCAGACAGTTAATTTCTTTGTGGTTGGACTCGGTGCTGCCCCAACCTGTTGTTCAACACACACAGAAATACATAGTTTTTCATGATGATGCAAAGTTAAATTTGACACTGTTACCATTAGTTATAAAACTAAGAAAATGAAGTCTAAGGAATTCTCATCCAGAACTGTAGAAAAATGTCCCTCTAAAAGGTTTAATAGTTAAAAGCATTAGATTTCATTTTAAACTTTAAGTAGTTTTAAAAATGGTACTTTTACACCTTTACTGAATTAAAAAGCTTAAGTTGATGCTCTAACTTCTACAAAAGTATTTTGAAACAGTAGGATTTGTACTTCTACTGGAGTAATAAACATTAATACTTTAATACCTCTGGACTTCAAAGTCCACAAGCATCCAACTTCACGATTTTGATGCTAAAAGACATTTAATGTGAACATAACATAAAAATATATGTTTACAGTGTAAGCCAGTTTAGCATGAGTGCTAATGCAAAAGTTTAACGTGTTAGGCTGGTACAGCTGTAAGAAATAGCTACAGTATTAGTTAAAATATTAGCTAAGGCTAAAATATTACTAAGCCACCATGTTAGCAAAGATTTTTAAGTTTTTTTAGGAGTGAGATAATTTAGAGATAGCCCTAATGCTGTTATAACTACTTTCCAGTAGCTCAAATTTGAAAAAATGCTACATGCTGCAAGCTATTTGTACCACATTTTTCTGTTTAGGGACAGTTAAATTAAAGTTAAATTTGACAGTTTAAGCAGCTGTTGCCAACATGCAACCATGTAAGCATAGAATACTATTTCTGTAACATTTGTTATTATGCTAAAAATGGTAGTTGGTGCTAATGCTACATTCAAACCTAGCATGGAAAGCTTTTGAACCTTCAGCAGTTGTTAGCAACTGGTATTCCTGGTCTTAAAAATCTGCTTTTTTATCTGTTTGGGTTACATATATATATATATATATTAATAAAAAATATATATTTTTTTATCATTGCTCATGTTACTTTTTTAACATGAAGAAAAAACTGATTAGTAAGGATGTATCTTCATACAACTGAAGGGATATGATGTAGCAAGCATAATTTTACATAATTTCTTAATTTTAACAACAAATCATAAAATCTGTGCCAACTGTTAAAGAAATCTGATTAGTTAAATTATAAAAAATGTTTTATTAGCACAACAAGAAAAAAATCTCCAGCATTACAGGGTGGATAAAATGTGATCTCTTAGGTATAAAAATGGTCAAACCTGAATTTTTGCATTAAATCACAGCTAACATCATGAGACTATGAAGATTTTAAGTTGAATAAATAAATATTATTCTTTTTTAAATCTCAAATGAATGAACATTTAAAACAGTCTCCAGTTTTTCTCTTTTCAGAAAACCTCCCACAGCCTGGGGGCCCAGTAAATAGAGGCCTGCTTTGCTTATTATTCAGTCCTGCTCTGTGTGTGTCCGTTTGCTGGGATGGTTGTTAAAGCAAGGAGGCTTGTTTGCATATCGGCCGTCTTACTGCGCACTAAGCCGCTCCGGGAGAACTCCCTTTGGCTGGACAGCAGTGACATATGTTCCTTCAGACACTGGTCAGCAATTCTGACTCTTTGACACCCAGCGTTCTCTTAACTCTCTCACTCACAAACAGATTAGACATTAGTGTCTGATCCGCCGTTAGCCACTTCAGCTTGACACTGGACACGGCTTAACACTCTGATTACAAGATAATGATTCAAGGAGGTGCTTAGAGAAGGAGTCATACTTTACAAAAACACATCAGGACACTGGATGCTTTAAGGAGGAGAACAAAAGAAGCTTTTTCTCATTGATCCTACTGTATATGGTGCTACCTATCAAGCCTATTCAGTCGGCTCCATAAATATAATTCAAGCCTGACAGTGGGGCTCCTCTGGGGCTTATAGAAGGAGACCCAGCCCCATAAATCCATCCTCCAGTTCTTCTTTTTGTCATCCAAGAGGCCCCATGATCTAGCCATTTACTCAGCTTATACCTCTTTGACTCCTCAACCCTACACAACATTATTCAGCATGAAAACATTAACTTAGAAAGTGTTAACCTAGCAAGGGATGTCTGAAAAGAGGGAGGTGAGGATAGGATCCAGGGGATAATGGTTGGTGTGTCTCCAGTGTTGCTGCAAAGGTGGAGCAGAGGAGGCAGCAATTATTATCATAACTGGACCACCACGTCTAAGTAGGAGTGGCAGAAAGAGAGAGAGGGGAAGATAAGTCCCATCTGGTGCCCAAAATCTGCCCCAGACTCGAGACAGACCGGCAGACTGTCTGCCACGCACGGCTGGAGCAACCAATAAATGATGATGAGGAGGAGAGGTGCACTGGTGCTGCTTTAACAGCATCATCACGGACACATTGTGCGCTAGAGTGCTAATCAGAGGAGGATGGGTCACACCCAGACAAATGCAAATAGAATAGAAAATCCCCTTATTGTCCCACAATGGGGAAATTGTGCAAAAAACAGAGATCTATATTATTTGCCCTTATCTCTACTTTTGGGTCCAACCCTCCATGCGTTTTTTCCCCTCTCTCAGTCAAGAAAAGAGTAAGTGCTCACTGTTCTATCTCTGCATCTTCAATCCACCCTGCCCCTCCTCCTTTTTTATAAAGAGACATGGATCTGACTGTAATCCCGCCTCCAATGGTGTAAGCACAAAATTAATTCTCTTTAATCCATGCAGAGTTAATCCTTGCGCCTGTGGCAGGAGAGGATGCAGGCTGGAGCTGATGGCTGACTCCTCGATGCTATATGTTCCTCCTGCTCCCCAGCCATCCCCCAGCCATCCCCCAGCCCCGAGCTGTGGACCCAAAGCCTCTTAATTCTCATTAGCACCGCTAATGGAGCTTCCCAACACGAGTGGGCTTTTGTCACGGCCTGGAGATGCAACTTATCTGCCTCCCATTCAATGCATCTCGTCACACTGTCAGCATTTTCTCCGGAGATTAAATAAAATGTTTAAACCTGATTAAGGGTTTACTCACGGTCCTCGCGTGTCTGGATGTACAGCACGTTGCTGCGGACTCCATCTCCGGCCTGCGTGTAGGCCAGGACCTGAACGCTGTAGTTGGTGAACTTCTCAAGCCCGCGGAGCTCCACTTGTTCCCGTGTGGTGGTGATGTTCTGCATCTCTCCCCATTCTGAGGCGAAACACGACGGGAAGAATGTGTTTATACAAGATCAAATCATCCAACTCTACATTTATGGTTTGAATACGTCTCAGCAGGAAGGTGACTCATGACTATGAGCTTAGGAAAGATGGAAAATACAGCAGAATTTCCTTAAAAAGCTAAGATGATGGTAAAATGGTTAATAATCCTTGATAAATTTGTGCATTTATTTAGGAAATAACGGTTGATCTAGATGACTTAACATATACAGAGGAAAAAAAAACATACTGTAATATATGCCTAATGCTGCACAAACGTGCATAGTGCCTTGCAAAAGGATTCATACTAAGAAGCAGAAAACCATTCTCCTTAAATGAAGGCCTGCAGCAAAGAGGCTGAGTCAGTGGTGGATGAAGTACTCAACAGTAGTACTTGAGTATCAAGTGTCAAATCTTACTCAACTACAATTAAAAGTTACTCGATTTAAAGTATTGAAGTACTTACCTAATTGTTCAAAGTACATGTATTTTAAAGAAATTAAGTATTAAAAATTACTAATTTTATTTTCTAATATCAGAACATTTCTGCCTAATTTTCAGAGTAATTTTAAAGAATTTGTAACTTTCAGAGACCACCTGATGTATTGATGCGTAGAACTACCTGCAATGGATTCTACACCACCTAGGAAGAACTTCAACAGAAAAATGACAGATAAATATAAGGACCAAAATGAAAACAGGAGAGTCTTTATTCTCCTCACTTTCACTATGTAGTGTGAGGAGTTTTAAGGTTGAATCTATTAGAACAAATAAATGCGACTTTGCTTTGGGACTCATGCTACTGGAAGTGGATGGCCTAGTGGTCAGGGCATAGGGCTTAGAATACTGACTTTGTGAGTTTGAAACCCACACCCACAACTGCCACTCTGGGTCTCTGAGCAAGACCCTTAACCCACAATACCTCCCTGTGTGCTGCACAGTGTCTGCCCACTGCTCCCCAAAGGGGATGGGTTAATTGCAGAATCAATTTCTCCATTGTGAGATCAATAAAGTTCAATTTATTTTATTCATTTATCACTGAACAAAAAACACCTTAATACAATTTATAACCTACTAATAATATCTGCTCTGATTTTTTCATATCTGTGGAACATAATTCAATCTCTAAAACGGTGGCGTCCAGATTCAGTCCTAAGGGCTGCCATCTTCCATGATGAAATTACATTTAAAGTAGGAAAAACAGCAACAGGGGATTACAAAGCATAGCTGAGCCAAAAGTAACAAAGGACTAGCAGCTTCACCAACTGTAGTGGAGCAGAAACAATATTTGACTTTGAAATGTCATAACATTGGGCGAATGCTCTGGTATGCTTGGGCTCTGTCGCATGAACAACCTTGGAAAAAAAAAATTATTACTTAAGTAAAGCAAATATACTCAAAAAAGTACAGTAATCAAGTAAATGTACTTTGTTCCATTCTACTGGTCTGTTTACTAACCAGGGCCTCAGCCATCCATGGAATTACAGCTCTATTATACTGTATTTTATTTTCTGATAATAAACCACTCACAGTGATTCTATTGAGAGCAAAAATCTGGTTGAAAGATATGTTTTCAATTGAAAAATGAAAAAAAAAAATATTTGGAAAATGAAGAAAGAAAAAGCGTCAACTTCTGGCTCTTTGGCGATGGAGGCGTGACTAAGGGCTGCAGAGAAATCATTCCCACTGGTTTCATTCAGGAACCCTTGGAACTAGAAATGCCTTTAAAGAATCATCGCTATCTTTGTTTATATGCTTGCTTTTGGAAAAATAACCACCCTCACTGATCTTAGTTTGTGGTAATGTCAGAACCTTGCAGCTGATGGTTCCTTAAGAGATTGGGAAATGTACAACAGAGACAGAAAATTAATCAGTATCATAATTCCTCCGATGAGATTTGTTTGTCATAAACAGCTTAGCTCACTGAAGGATGTTACATTTTTAAACCAGTCACATAAAAAGAACATCAATTATGCTTTAAACATATTTCTAGCTCGCCATCTAAGCCCCACCTTCTCACAGAATAAAACTTTTTTTTTTTTTTTTTTTTTTTACAAAATTAATGGCTCTAATTTAGCTCCGTATACATCTACTAATCGTAAAACATCTGCAGGCATCTGCTGCTCTAGATTTTATTTTAGCAAACATTATTATTGCAATTTAATTAAAATGCACATAAACCTCCCAGATTTGTATCTATTAAAAAGGTTGTATCCCATGTATTCTTTTTTTCTTCCACTTCATAATTATTTATCTGGAAAAAAAAAAATCCCAAAGAATTACATAGAGGTTTAATGCTGCAGCAAAATATGTTTACTCTTTTGCAAGGCACCGACAACAAACAGGAACAAATACCAAATGTTTGACGAGGAAGGTGAGAGCAAACAGCGGTGACACAGATGGATGTGATGATGAGGCTGGTTTGGGAGGAAATCTTAGAATGAGATAGGTGATAATTACTCTGCATCGGCCACTGGGCCCGGACCCCACAGCACCCACCTCCGTCCGGGAAGAGGGACCAAAACACAACCCTGTAGCCTTTCAGCACGCCGTGCAGCGTCATGCGTGGCGGCTCCGACCACGTGATCACCGCCTCGTCTGACGTCACAGAGATTGCTCTCACGTTCTGCGGGGGCTCGCTGGGCACTGCAGGACAGAACGACAGGTTTAAAACCGACCCAGTCGCAGAAGATCAGGAAAAGCAGATGAAAACCCTCAAAACTACACATCAGCAACAGCAGCAAAAAGAAACGGGTCAAACATGTTCAATATGGCCCAGAATTTCTCCTCATATTTTTTAAAGATAATAGGCATTGATGGAAAGAAGGAGAAGTGTTGAGAGAGATATTAATCATAAAATCTTTAAACGGGAGAGGATGAAATGCAGCTGAGAGGATACGTGGGGAATAAAATCTTTAGGAAGACACTATTCCAACATCTTTTTAGCTCATGGGTGGCTGCAGGCCTTTCAGGCAGACAATAAAAATGTGAAATTATGTATTTCTAAAAATGATTTTTTTATTCAAACCTCTTGTTCATCATTCTGCTATCTTATGCTCATACCATCTTCCAGCGTGGTGGCGTTGATCTCGGTGCTGGACGGTCCGGTTCCGGCTCTGTTAAAAGCCTGGACGACCACGCCGTACTGAGCAAACTTCTTCAGGTTGTCCAAGGTGTACACCTCGCTGTCCCCCGTTGCTTTCATCTCCACGATGCTGTACTGCCCGTTGCTGCCTGGTCCGTTCTCCCTGTAACCGATCTGATAGCCTCGGATCACGCCGTTCTGCAGCTCCTTTTTAGGAGCCTGGATATTTTTGAAAGAAGGAAGACATGAAGCATGGAGACAATCGCAGAGTTAAGCTGTGTTTGGGTTTTGCTGTTAATGTTCAGCTTTTAGGTCTATGACTTGGAGCAGCCATTTTAACAGCCATTTTATAAAAGTCAGTATATATATATATATATATATATATATATATATATATATATATATATATATATATATATATATATATATATATATATATATATAAGCAGCCATTTTCACCTATGCTCTTTTCTGTTATATCATTCCTAATGTATTATTTTATAGACTATCAAACAATGATTGGGAACATACACTGCTAAAATGATCTAGAAACAAGTAAAAATGCCTTAAATTAAGGCTGTTACCCTTATTTTGAACAGGTAAATAAGTTGATTTGCCAATAGAATGAGAATTTTTATTCTGAAATCTTTATGCTTGAAATAAGACAATGCAATTGTTTATTCTTAATTTAAATGAAATAGTTTTGTTCTATTGGCAAAGTGTCTCACTTACCTCATCAATTCAAAAGAAAATGACTTATTCAGATTCCGATTCTTTGCAGTGTAAACTATTCTCCTGAGCATTGTTTGATTTGACATGCCTGCTGTAGCTTTATGCAGTAAATAGAAGAAATCAAGGCGCACAGAAAATATAGTAATGTTTCGGCCAGCGTGGCCTTAAAAACTGAACTCAAAGTTGTCATCAAAAGAGGCGTAAGATTTTTAATTTCTTTATCTCTCCAAAACATCTTTTCTTTAAAACCTCCACTTCCTTTGTATTAACAACAAAAAAATCTGTTAGTTGTTGAGCTAGTATATTTCCCACTCTAAGACCTTTTAACATCTCTTTTCTTCAGCACTTTGAAAAATCTTTTCAATCTTTCTTGAGTTTTACAAACGGCGACGTAGACAGAGCTGTTATTTAAAGGATTTTCTTACATATATTCAAAGAAAAAAAAATAGAGGCATGATTTATTACCCTCCATGTGACTCGTATGCTCTGTGACGTCATTGGCTGCAGTACAACATCCATCGGGGGCCCATCAGGTGCTGTTTGATCAGGATTTATTGTCAGAATGAAAAATCGGAACCAAATGCAAATAAGGTGCAGAAAACCTGGGGGGAAAAAAACATAACCTACGCGCTTCCTCTGTGCTGATAGTTAGCTCTTTGCTGGGGAGGCTGCGGCCGATTTTGTTATAAGAATACATGCGGATGCTGTAAACACAAGCTGGATGCAGCTCCACGATATTAGCTTGATTGTTTGTAGGTGAAATGTTCCTGGTCGTGTACATGTGATCCCAAGAGTCTGTGGGAGAGGAACAGAATTTGGTCTGTTTTTAAAACCCAGTACATAAATAAACACTTAAAGGAATATATCTGAGCTCTTTTACCAGATTTGTTCTTGTACTCAATGTCATAGCTGGTGATGATGCTGTTGCCATCAAACCTTTGGATCCAACGCAGGTTCATGCTTCTGTCCTTCACTTCCCTCACCTCCAGCTCAGGAGGATCAGGGGGTTCTGAGTTAGGGGGAGAAAAAAAAGTGTTTATTGTGCAAATCAGTAAGACTGGAATAGTAATTACAGCAGGATCTATGAGTAATGGTATGTTTTTCTCTCCCTAAAAATAATAAGCATAATTTACTACAATGTGTAAAACAGGGGTGTCAAACTGGTTCCAGAAAGGGCAGTGTGGCTGCAGGTTCTCTTTCCAACCAAGCAATAGCACACCAGACTCCAGTCATCTCATCAAGGGAGTCCAATCTGAACATGATAACTTGAATAGATGACTGGAGTCTGGTGTGCTATTGCTTGGTTGGAAAGAGAACCTGCAGCCACACGGCCCTTTCTAGAACCAGTTTGACACCTGTGGTGTAAAAGGTTAATAATTCATTTTCAGGCAGAATCAATGCTTTTACATCCCTTCCTGGAAATGGGTTCCTTCAAAGTTTAAATCAAACCTTGAACGGTGAGCTGGATGAGTCCTCGGCCCTCTCCATAGGAGTTGATGGCGTGACAGGAGAAGAAGACTGAATCTCCTCGCTCGGCTGGGTTTAGCTGGAAGGAAAAGCACAGCAGAGGTTATTATCACCCACTACCAAGTGGACTTCCCAGCTTGGGCCTAAAACAAGGTTTTTATCGTCCTATCAAGGTCCAGCTGCTTTGATGCTTCTAGTCAGGTTTTCATGCTCAAAGCTACAAGGAGACTGACTTAAGGCCTGAAAACACCCGTTACCTACGAGCCAGTGTGACTTTTTTCCATGTCACACTGGCTGCATATAAAGAGGCTCCAAATAGGCAGGGTGATCAGATCTTTGCAGATTGTTTTTCCTTCTGTCTCTCTGCTTTACACATTAAAACAATTTTCCCACATTTGACTTGGACACATTATGAAAAGTTATAAAAAAATTACAAAATCAGCAGGGCATTTTATAAAGCAAAGCCCCACTTAAGGAGTCTGTGCAGCATCTCAACCCAGAACAGATAGAATGTTCATAATGAGATCTCCGTCTAAAGAACAGAAAAACACAGCAATAAACACAGTGGGATGGTTTCTATGCTGACTGAGGCAGAGAGGTGATTCTCACAGAGAGATCTGGGAAGTTTTTCCAAGTTTTATTTCTTTTTTTCTAATAAAGAGGTGAGACAGATACGTGGCGCTTACCTGCTCTGTCTGCCCCTCGTTAATTTGGTTTTTGAGAGGCTCAAAGAGGATCCCTACTTGATCCATTTTCTGTCCTCCTGAACTTCTATCATGGGTAACGTTTTCTACTTTAATGTTTCATTGATTGTTTTTGCACCAGTCTGTCCCACCTGCTATATAGTCCAAAACTGAGTCTGTGTCCAAAAGTCCGCCCTAATCACTATACATTGTCCACGCCATTTTAATAGGTGTCCGAACGTCTAGAGGACGAATAAGTAGTCGACTCCAGCTTCCATCCATCCATCCATCCATCCATCCATCCATCCATCCATCCATCCATCCATCCATCCATCCATCCATCCATCCATCCATCCATCCATCCATCCATCCATCCATCCATCCATCCATCCATCCATCCATCCATCCATCCATCCACTTTATTTTAAAGTTCTTTCCATCCATGCTCTCATATTCTCACCTTCAGGGTAGAGATGACTTCATCTCCCTTCTTGTTGATAGTGATGGAGTACCGGGGGTTTCTCTCTGCATCAATGACCGTGTCTCCTCTCTCCCAGCGGATAATAATGGGCTGCTCGCCCCTCGCTGTGCAGTTCAGCTCCTTGGTCTGGCCCTTTCTTGCCATGGTAGTGTTGGGGTGGCTGGTGATCATGGCGGGAACTGAACACATCCACAGAAATGTGTCAGAGTAATGAATAGCCTTATATGGGATAATAAGATGAGGGAATGGAGCTGTGGATATAACCCAGACGTATGGATATCACTACATTCCCTGTTGTCATTTCATGCTTCAAGCTTCAGCGGCTCCCTTACTTCACAGCCTCTTTGCCCATTTCATCCAAGATTTCTCCTCTTTTCCTTTCTGTATCTTACATCTGGGTTATTGATCGAATGGGGATCCCGTGGTTTTGTTTTTATCATTGATCCAGCACCCTCCCTTTTCCTCGCAAAACATTTAATAACACACAAACTGACAGCTGAAATACAGAAATCAATAGCTGAGTTACCCCTGGTTAGCGGTGTGGAGGACAGAGACAAGGTTCTGTGGTGTTCAGCGCAGGCCGAAACAGCCTGGGGCAAGAGTGAGTGCTTCTTACACTCATCTCTCTACCATCCAGGAGATGTGGGGAAAAAAAGGGAAAGTGTTTGAGCCAACTGGAAAGCTGACTGACACTCACTCTTTACAGTCAGGATCATGCTTTTACTGATGTCTGAGCCAACGCCGTTGGAGGCCTGACAGAGGTAGTAGCCTCGGTCATCCTCAAGGACGTGTCGGATGAGCAGGGAGCCGTTCGACATGATCTGGATGCGGCCGGTGAGGGGGACGGGGTGATACTGCTGTGGATTTCCAACACCTGTAGATGAAAGCACACCATAAAGAACGTAAAGGTCTGCGTTCACCCCCAAGGATGTGCGTCAGGAAACGGCAGCAAATGTTACCTTTGGCGTGTTTCCACATGACTTTCGGAGGCGGATAACCCTCCACTGAGCAGTTCAGAACTCCAGCTTTTCCGTAAATGCAGTCCTGGTTGTTGGGTTGAACCACAAACCGGGGCGGCACTGAGAGCAGGACACAGACGGTGAGGGTTAACTGCGGCTCACTTGGCATGCTTCAGACACTCGCTCCGCCCCTTACCGGTGACAATCAGCTGTCTCTCCCAGCTGACGTTGGCTGCGGCGTTGCTGGCGATGCAGGTGTAGTTCCCGTTGTGCTTCAGTGTCACCTTGGAGATCTGCAGGGAGCTCATGAACTCTTTGGTTTCTATTGCGACGCCAGAGGCGGAGCCTGGCACTATGAGCTGGCCGTCTTTGTGCCAGGTGATGCGTATGGGCATGTCCCCGGATGAAACCACGCAGGCGATGTACATGAGCTTCCCCACTGAGGTAGAGGGGATGTCGAAGGGCTGGATGAGCGGCGGCACTGGGGAAGACAGGAAGAGCACATGGAATCAGAGGAATAAAGGCTGCGATAGATGGAAGCAGCGCGGCCATCTGGAGCGATGGTGAAAGAGATAGAGAAGGTCATTGGCCGCTGGGCCCCCTTCTTTTGCTGCCACCCTCCCCTCAGCTCCCCCATCTCCTGCAGCCCATAATAGCTGCTCTGGTTAGAGTCCAATTGGCAGGGGGAAGTCATTCCGTTGCCATAGCGATGGAGGTTAGGGTGGGGGTACTACAGCTGAGACATCTGGGGGATTTAATCTAGGCTTCATTATTATTCATCTAATTAAATCAGAGACACACTCACACTCAGGCGCATGCACACACCCTAAAACACCTCTGCAGCTGCTCGCTACCATCGTTAGCCGACTCACAGGCTGAACGAAACAACCACAGATTTACAAAAGAAACAACTCAGATAAGCTTCAGAAACATGGGTGAAACATTTCCCATGTGGTGATTAGTTTGGGTTTATCACAGGAGCCATCTGAAAGGTTCTCAAATGGTGATCTGCCTCTGGTAGCGATTTATGGAAAGCCCAGCCAAGAAAAAATAAATAATCCTTCGTTTAATTTGAGCACAGGTGTTCAGAAAACCAAAAAACTATTCGGTAGTTAAGTTTAAACAGTTAGGTTTAGCTAACAGAGCTTAGGTCTCTCAAGGTTAGATCCTCCACTGTCTGTCTGCTCTTCTCTTTGGCTTTCTCCACATGTTTGTTTCGGTCTGACATGACCGAGCAGGCAGCCTGATTCTAGATCTGAAACAATCAAATTTTAATAATCTGCGATAAAAAAAAATAGTCAACTAATGTAGTAATTTTTTAAATCTACAGCTGTTGATTAGCTGCCAGCCCCACCTAGTCAGAGCAGTTATTAAAAAAAAAAAGTGCATTCAAAATGGAAAACCTGTTTTAATTGTGAATATGCTCTATTCAGAACTCCTAAAGTATTGCTACATCACTGTGGCTTGAACTGATTTAAATTCTGCATTAAATATTCTTTAAGGCACCTTTTGCTATGTGATAATTAGTCGATTAATCACAAAAATAATCGTTAGTTTCAGCAACTCATTGATAAAGAATTGTTAAAATAAATGTATTTACTGAAAGCAACTTTTCAAAAAAGAAAAAAAATTCATGTTTATGCAAATGTTAAACTTTTCTTTTACAGTCTACTGTTTTTTTCTTTAGATTTTTTATTTTTATTTTTGTTTGTGTTTCTTTAGATGTTATTTTAGTTTTAAAGATTTTTTTAGTTAGCAATTTACATTCTTTTCAAATCCCATCTGACAGATATTTGCTCTGTTAGAATTTATAGGCTGCGTCTTCGAAGAATGCGGTCTACCTGGACTGGATCCTTCGAAGTCCTTGAAAATAAGGAGACCAGAAGAGTTTGGCTGTGAATTCAAACAGGCCTAGCCTTCAGCTGCTTTCTCTGCCTTATGCTCTGTCGCTTAGCAACCATGATAGTTGACACAGAGAGCAGGAAAAGAATTAATCTTGAACTTTTCAAAACTTTATTTTTAATTTTATTTATTTTTTTTTACATTTTTTTTATTGTAAAGTGAAAAAAAGACGACACTCACGAGGATACAGAGTGGAAAAACGGTGCTAACTTTCAGGAGCATGAACAAACAAAAGCAAAATGTAATGATATAAACCTTAGTCAGTTAAATAACATGCTGCAGTCATTTTGCACATCTCTGGTGTTGCTGCTATTTTCTAATATCCATTACTGTAAAAATGTCCATAACTGTTATTTATTCTCCAGGTGCAGTTTTATATTGTAAAAAACACTTTACAGTACAGTATTTTATGTTTTATATTTCAACTCTTTACTATTATGTTATTCTTTAACATTCTTCTAAGGTCCACATTTGTTTGACCATTTTTTTCAATAATCTTTTTGCTGCTGTAAATTTCCCCATTGTGGAACAATAAAGAGATTTTCTATTTTATTCTATTCTAAAAGGGTAGAAAGATATAAGTAAATCTAGACAATGTATGTATAAAACATATATCTTCAAAATCTCCTATATTCAACAACAAAAAATACTTAGTAAAGCAAATTGTGCAAAATATCAATTAAACATAAAAATCATATCAGATTTATAATCCCCACACTGCAGATATATTAGAATCTGTCCTTAAATTACAGCCAAACACATTTGCACAGTAACCTTTAGATAAATCAAACATTACCGCCACATATCTGACTAAATAATCATTAAAACAACTATTTCCGTTCATTTCAGACGCAACTATTCACATACTTATATTATATTAACTTGAACTTCCAGTATTTAGCACTGTTCGGCGCCAAGTAACCTTTCCTCTGATCACAGACCAGCCGGCTTGCCTGGTCTCGCAATGAATACTGGGAAAACCAAGGATAGCTAGGATACACGGCACTTATCCCTCAAATTTGGCAAAAAGAAGGATATTTATAGGCTACATAACAAGGAATCTTGGAATCCGACCAGACCTCAGGGCCGCATTCGAATCTGGCCTTCGGAGGTCTGACCAATAGAAATGCTATTGCTAAAGCCCAAACTGGGCAGACTTATTTCTATTGGTCGAATCACACACCACCCAGAAGTGTGGAGGGTGAAATTTGTAAAACAGGATTTAAAAACAATACAATTTATAAAACTCAGTCTTACAAATTAAATCTGAAAAAAATTGGATTTAAAAAAATATCTAAAGAAAGAACACCTGGAGTATGAGATCCCATAAAATGTACATTTAAAAACCATAGTAATTTAGCATGCACATTTTAAATTACTCTCAAAACCTTTTTAATGATAATAACAAAAATAAAGTTGACTCAAATTGACTCTTTTGAAATGTGTTCTTTAATTTTACTGATGTTGAAATACATTTCTCTCCATATGTTTTCCTTTAAAGTCGTAGGGAAGCGGCTGTTCCAAAGGTTCCGAATTCTTCCTAGTGGTGCCCGAATTTACACAAGTGAATAAAGTGAATGTGATTGGTCATTTATCAAGAGGGCGGGATTTTTGTGGCGGAAGGTTCGCAAGCAAGTTTGATTGTGGCCGATGTCTCTGAAGCATCTTGCTAACCAGTTAGCAACTTAGTGCTAGTAGGTTCCCAATGGGAAATTACATTGGGACCAAGTAGCAATTAGCAACGACACTGTCAAGGAATGCTATGGGCAGCGGAAACATGCAAGAGGAGGAGAGTTTTGTGTTGGAGGTTGTGGACAAGTCTCCTCCGTCAAACATTTTTTTATCTAGAAGAGGAAAGCTGGCACAAAGTTGTTGTGGAAGAGGACGCCAGGGTGGCAGAAGTTTGGTTTGGTGTAGAAGGCTTACAGCTGTACATGTCTGAGCCCTCGCCTCGCAACGCTGCCAGTTCTGTCAGCTCTACGCCTGCCGAAGAAACAGACGTCCATCCCCGTGAAAACTTGGACGGAACTCAATGATAAAGTAAATAATTCTTATTTCAACCGTTGCGTATATTAGCTGCGACATATGAATCAAGGTGCTATGACTGAAAAAATTTGATTGACAGATGATCGTTGATATATGATTGGCAGAATTTAGGTGTACAAGCTGAAGTATAACTAACTGGCCTGCATACAATAACGAAAACCCCCCCACAGATTTTAAGACAGGATTTTTTTTAAATAGAAATTTTTTAACTTTTGGGACAATATTGTCTGCTAAAGAGTACATTTATATACATGTTTAAGCCAGAATGATTTGAAATTTAAATATGACTTCCCTACGACTTTAAATTTAGTTTTTCTTTTATGTGAGATTCAAATTGTGTTTCCTTAAATTTTATGTCTTTAGAAATCACTCGATAAAGATAATATAAAACAAAAAAAAAACTCCTGCAATAAGGTATTCTGGACAAAAGAGCATTGAAGGCTATTAAAAACAGTGAAACCTCGGACATTGTGTATGCCTGTGACTAATGCAAAATCATAAGTGCATCTGTGTGTGAAAATGTTTTTACACACCTTTGTAAATGTAAATCTCTGTAATTCAGCCCTTTATGGTGGATAATTATATCTTCTTACTCTTACCTTTAACCGTTACATGGACGGTTTGGTTGATTGACACCTGGGGCTGGATCAAAACGCTACAGAGGTATGTCCCTTCGTCGGCGCCCTTCTGCACGTCCGTCAGCCTCAGGGTGCCGTTCTCAAACACCACTTGACGGTGATTATCAGGCAGCTGCATGCCGTCTTTCAGCCACTTGATCGAGTAGTATGGGTACCCGATCACGCGGCACGTTATATACGTGTTTCTGCCTGCCACTGCTGTGATGTCTCTCATGGGTCTGATTTGAGGCTGACCTGGAGACACGTGGAAGGGAGGGAGGGGGATGGAGGGAGGAGACAGGGACAGACGCGAAAGCCAATGGGGACGAAAGGTGAAGAGATAAAAGTTGAGGAATGGAGTGATTGGGGCAAGTTGACAAGTGGAGAGGAAGGTTAGTTATGCCCCCATTACTAAAATCTGACTGAGGATATTTGCTTATATCTATTTATACTAGGAAAACGTACTAAGTATCTAAGTTAGGAGATAGAAATAGAAAACTAGCTCACTAGCTACTCTGGTTTCATGGATACAGAATATTACTAAAACTATTTGCTCATCTGCCACCAGGTTCAATCAATCAATAATCAAACTCTTCTGGGAGAGCTTTCCATAAGGTTTTGGAGAGTGTTTATTGGAATCTTTTACCATTTTTTCAAAAGGAAATTTGCCAAACCCTGCCCTTTTTCACACACAAGTCCCAGTACTGAGCCACTGAATTAGCAACAACCTTTTACAGATGAACAAAAGTGAAATGCATCAGAAACTATTTCTTCGAAACTAGGTCGTCTGCGTAGGTGCCGCAGTGGACAAAAAGACGTCCCCACCACCATCGCAGACTCTCTGCTGCACCTCTCCCAAATTTTAAAAATTGTGCCGCAGACAGGAGGCCGGCTTGTTTTGTCTTTATCATTGTAATTGCGGAAAATAACTTGTGAAGTTTAAGCAGCTAGAAGAGCGAGGGACACGAGAATGCTGGGACCCTTTTTTTCACCTGGATCCCCGCTCTTTTTTTGCCCTCATGTCCCTCCGTTTGTCGAACAAACTCGCCCGGACTTCCTCACCGCCTTGGCCGTATCTAGACCCACAGCTAGTTCCTAATTCTGTAGCGCATAAATCAAAAATTTCTGCGTCAAGCTCACTGGGACACACTGCTGCCGGGAGTATAACCAGCCCTTAATCCTACAACTATTGAATAGATGTGTCTAATATCACCTGCAAGTGGCTATAATGCAAAGGTTATAGTGTTAACTTATCAAGCCAACTTCTAAAGATGCCCATATATCTTTGGGTATCTAGGCTGTGTCCGAACATCCGCTCTAATCCCTAAATCCCTAAATCCCTCAGTCAATATATAGAGTGAGCTCAGTTAACTGACAGTTGGGACAGACGATCACTACTTTTCGGTCCCTGTTGGTCACATAAGGCTGCCTCCCCTCATGGTGCTTATGCCATCTTTGTAAGGCCGTCCCAACAACAAATCCCATGATGCTTTGGAATCTGGGATATATCTGCTCGTCTAGCGACTATAGATGATCACTACTTTTCAAAGGAAATTTTGAGTCCACTACTTTTTCATCCACTAGATGTTCGAACACTCATGTAAAATGGCGTAACCACTATATAGAGCCCTATATAGTGATTATGGCGGACGTTCGGACACAGCCTTAGTTTAGCATGGTGACAGGTAAGAAGCTGTTGGGTGTTTATGGTAATCTAGCTACTTGTCGCCCCACGGTGTGACGGCAGTTGCAGCGAGGTGACTAACTAGTAAAAGTTATGGCTAGCTGCAGGTGTGTGGCGTCACACCGAACAGCCTGTCTCTCTATGTCCAGCACAAAACCCAAGCTCTCTCGAAACACAGGTACAAAGCATAAAACCATCAGAAGAATGATAAAGAGCACATGAGTGTTAAACTGAAGTTGGCTGGGAATGGTTACACGTTTTTCCTCTTTGTTATCCAACTAGAGCTATCATTACTCTAATTCAGAGTAGGCCTTTTGTACACTGCTGAGTCTGTCTGTCATGAAAATACCGGCCGATAGAATCCAATATTAATTTTTTAGCTAAATTCAAAACCAATGTTGGATATTGCTGCATCGGGACACCCCTGGTTGAGAAGCAACGTCTGACTTTTGTTTGTTCATTTTCATAGAATTTTTGTCCGAGTCCTTTTTGTCAGATTCAAGTTGTTTCTGTGACAATTGTAAGTTTTCTTTTATTAAATGAGGGCAACCAGTAGGTTGGTCCATTTGTGTATGATTTGGAGGTCTGTAGCAAAGGAGACTGAGAATGTTATCGCCCTTTGCCCGTTACGTCCCTCAGGACTGCTCATTTCATGGGGCCTTTCATTACAATATCATTACTATGTTGTTTCCAATTGGGTTTTCTACCACTAATATTTGAGTTTAGTTAAACTTGCTGCACAGGTAGCATACCTGTTCTGGAAGTCACTGAGCTTCTGATAAGTGATTGTAGAAACCATCTGCATGCAGATTTTCCGATTTCCCTACAGCGGTGGCCATGAATGCGATTACAACACCTCAATTCAAACCTTCTGGTGGCAGAGCAAATACTTTCAGCAACATAATGTGGATTGATACAATCATGGAAAGAAGAGAGAGAGAGAGAGAGAGAGTATCCATGACTGCATTGACAGAGAAAAACTAAGTCCACCCCCTTGGTTTAAAGGCAAATAGGCACATTATTTGTTTTTCTTTTCAAATTTATACGCCAATAATCAGAGGTGTCAAGTAACAAAAGTACAAATATTTTGATCCAGTGGGGAGAAAATAAAGCAAAAAAAAAAAAGATTCCAAGAGAGGAAAGAATTGAACAAAGCTGGGCGTACTGTCTGAATGTTGGTTTTTATGGAAGAGAAGCTAAAGCCGCCGATAGATAATAGATGTAACGTCCTTATCAATACTTATACTAGTTATCGCAGTGTTGGACCTAATCTTTATAGTCCAAGTACTAAACAACATAGTGAAAAAAAGACGACAAGAAACACAAGCCCACATCATTACTGTTCCACCACTGTGCATTGTAATGTCCTCTTGCTTTGCTTGGTTTTCACCTTCTGTGGAGCTGCATATTATTTTTTATTTATCTCTACTTTGGTCTCATAATCATACATTATCACAAATCTAATTAATTTTGCTTTATACTTTTTTAAGTAAACAGACGATCTCTTGGTAAACTTGACCTAAATGTTGACATTAAACATGCTTATGGTGATTTTCTTTTCTGGAATTTTGGACAGGACTGGCCATGGGATTAACTTCTGAGAACTGGCTTATTGATCGTGATAAATCGATTATTGAAGCCTGAACTAATTCATAAATTAATTTATCTTTAAAACATCTCTATCCAGAACTCCTCAAGTCGCATTTCTGAGCACATAAATGAATTTTTTTGCAAATTTGTTTTTTTAAGTTTAGACACTTCTTGAATAAGGTATGAGCTCCTTTCTTTAGATGTATTGATAAATTGTAAAAAGTTTGACAAATAATTTGGTCACTACAATGATCAATAGCTTCAGCCTCAAATAATTTTCACGTTTTTTTAAATTGGCCTATAATCTTTCTCAGGTTGTTTTGCAGTTACTTTGTTCAAGTTGACTGGTGCCTTTCTGCCTTATCATATAATACTCGTCGTCCCATCTCCATATCGATTTTAAGAAAGCAGTAGGAGGTGATTTAGTTTTTCAACTGTTACACATTTATGGAGTTGATTTTGTTCCATTATTGTTTCAAGCACAGGTTTTGTAAATGAAAAAAAAAAGCAATCCCAAACTGAAACTTTGAAAGAAACTTCTCAAAAGTAAGGTTTGAGAGTAACTTTATTGTTTTCTTATTCTTTCTTATTTCTATCTTATTTTTTCCAAAATTTTTTGTATAAATGCTTGGCTTTAACAGATTTTTATATTTTCTCCATTTCTTTTCTTAAAAATTCCATTTCTCAGATTGACTTATGCTATGTCTATTCTTTTCAAATTGCCATTTCCAGATCCCATTCTCTTCCCTTCTGGTAGCGGGTTCGTCTACTATACGTTAGCGACATTTTTATTGTCAAGGGTGATTGGACTTTAAGCAAAAAGAATGTGATCTGTGAAACACAAGTTGAAATTAATGCAGTTCATGAAACTCAATCTGAACCAGAGAGAACTGAAAAAAAAAAAAAAAAAACCTAAATATATATAAAAAATAAAGCCTGAACAAACCCCCCCTAAGAAAACAGCAAAGTTACCCTCAATGCATTTTTCTGATAATTAATCTACAATTTCCCATTTACAAAATATGTTTTTTGCTTGAAACATAATAATCATAATAATGGAAGAAAATTTAATCATAGAGAATTAGAGAGTTAGATAGATAGAGAGCTAGATAGAGAGCTAGATAGAGAGCTAGATAGATAGAGAGCTAGATAGATAGAGAGCTAGATAGATAGAGAGCTAGATAGATAGATAGATAGATAGATAGATAGATAGATAGATAGATAGATAGATAGATAGATAGATAGATAGATAGATAGATAGATAGATAGATAGATAGATAGATAGATAGTTCTGGACTAAGCCCTACATGTTTGTATAGAGTCAGGTGTGAGTGCATTTATATTGAAAAGCAGACAGGCACCTCTTACGTTTATGCGCGCTTGGTACTCGGCGCTACCGGCCGAGTTGCGTGCGACGCAACGATACACTCCCCCATGTCGAATAAGCGGACTGCTGACGTTGACGTGAGACACGGTCAGGCCATCTGACAGGGTGTATTGGCTGGTCTTGTACGTGGAATCTCGAACCACGGCCTCCTCATCCAAAGTCCAAGTGATTGAGGGCGGCGGGGCTCCTTTGGCAGCACACATGAGGGAGAAAGGCTCACCCGGGTTAACCACCCGCTCGCTGAAGGAAGACACAATACGAGGAGTACCGTCTGGGGGATTGAAAGGGAAAGGAGCCAAAAGAAGCCATGATTAAAACCAGACCTTTTATTAATTCGTTCTGCAAAAAAGATTCTCCATTTAGTGAGCTTCCCAGCAGACTTTGTCCACTTACCCTCTAAGAGAATTATGGAAAAATCCTGAGCTGTGTGGCCTTTTCTGGAAGCGAAGCACTGGTATGCTCCGGAGTGAAACTTCTGTGCTGCCACGATCTGAAGCGTGTCGTTGTGTTGTCCCTGCATGGAAATGTGCTGGTCGGGAACAATGAGTTCGGTATTCCTGAACCAGGTGATGGTGTATTCTGGAGAACCCTCCACGGTGCAGGTGAAGAACAGTGTGCTGCTGATGCCGGTTTTCATGTTCTTTGGAGAGAGCGTCACTCGCAGTGGATCTAAAGAAACGATGATGTCAGAATAAACAGAAATGCAGAGTAAAATGTAGGACTGACCACTTTCCACCAATCCACAGTAACCAGTTTCAAAGTATAATGGTTGCATTGAGTTTCTTGTTGGTCTTCCCTAAAGTCAGAAAGGACAGATCGGAGTAAGATCTGTATATCATTATGATTTGATTATGCTAGCTTTCTAAAACTAAAACATATTTTAGATAACATTTATGTCTAAACAATATGCTGCCCACCTCCCCTTTGTAATTTACATGGAGCGCCACTAGATTGGAGTAAATCTCATGCTACTTTCACACTGGACATGTTTTAAGCAGCAGAAGCAGCTGGTTTGCATGCAAAGTCAATGGTTGATGCGTATCAAGGTGCATCAAAAGGTGTCTAGAGCGCGTCTAGAGCAGCATAAGCATTCTTATAAGCTTCTAAGCATCTCAGGCGCGTGACATGCTCCACAAGTAGCAGCTGCTGGAGTTGGAAAAATTAAACTTTAGTTGCTCGATGCACCACATCAACCAATAAGAGAAGCTGATTTGGGAGTGGGCAGGGAGACAGACAGCGCTGCTGATGCAGATCGCTATGATCACTCCTCTGAAACCCATTATTAACGTCTAAATTAAATTAAAGTGTCGAAACCTGCCGGGAAAATATGTTCGCTTTTATTATTCTGGTGCCTACAGTTTGTACTGCATACTTGAAAAATGCTAACATCTACTTCCAGCTGCCACCAACAGTAGGTGAAAACCCCTCAGAGGCTAACGGGCCTGAGGCAGCTGCTGCTGGGGATTCCCAGTGACAGCGCACCGCTGGTATTTCTGTGGTCTGAGTGGCTCAGACAGAGAAAGGATATTTGAAGGCAGGATGGTAATCTGGATTAACTGACTGCACAGACGATGTTTTCAGGTGGACTTTCTACCTTAAAATATATTAAAACTACTTTTTACCCACTGATCACAGCAAATATAGCAAAGCTGCTCTCTGCCATTGAACACAGGAGCAGCAGAAGCATCAAACTCATCTAAAATATCTGGTGAATCCAGATGCCCGACAACGGCGTTCTCTAGCTTTGCTAATTAAAATATACCAAGCCACTCTTTCGATTTCATCCTTTATTGTATAAAATGCAGGAAAATAATGGAGAGGGTAGCTCCCCCCAATTTTATTTATGTGGTGCCAATTCACAACACATGTCATTTCACGGCATTTTACAATTCAACCAGATAATACAGTCAAATTGATTCAAAGTTTTCTATCTAAGAAAAACCAGTTGATTGCATCGACTCATTGACTGGAATGCAATCCCTCATACTAAGCATGCTTGTAGCGACAGTGGAGAGGAAAAACACAGCAGCATAGCTGATATTTCTCCCCAAGATGGTGTCACAGCCAAACAGTAACAGAAGAGGCGAAGCTACTATGCGCTTTTTTCACTTTTATTTGAACAGCAGGCGCTTTTTTGCTGCCCAAGCGCATCCGGTGTGAACATAGCAATACACACTGCGGTTTTAGGAATTAACAGCTGCACCCTCTAGTGATCAGTAACATTACAACAATCAAAGAAATTCCTTCTGTTATCAGCTGATCAGATTGAACTAATTATAATCTAATAAATTACTATTTGACAATTAATATGAGTTTGGTATTTGTTAACATTACTATTTTGAACTGTTTGATGTTGTTGCTACGGGTTATGTGATCTCTAATCATTGCATCAGAGGCAACCGGGCCTCGCCTCACGAGGCGGCGGTTTAAACGTGTAACGGGCATGGACGTTCGTCTAAGCAGACGGCCAGAGGGGGCGCAGTCAGCGGCGGTGACTCAATCAGTTCAAACACACTCATTAAAAAAGCAGCTGGTGATATCTCTTCACATCTCCGTCCACTCGTGTGTTCCTGCCTGCATGTTAAGGGGCGTACATGTGTGTGTGTAAATGTCAGTGAGCAATAAGGCAGCTGGTGGTGTATGCTGGGGGGCATCTCGGTCCCCCCCACCCCCAACCCCCCCCTTGTCAGAGTCACAGAGTGTGCTGCCATGATGTGCCCACTGGCAAAGCCTACCTCCTCCCCGTTCTCTCCCTCTGTCTCGCCTCCCTTTCTTTGTTTCTTTGTATGCTTTCCTCAGTCTGCGTTTATCCAACCTGCTCTTATTATCCTGTTATTACAGAGCAGATAATGTCATTCCGACACTGTCTGGACATCTGACTGCCCCCTCCGTGACCCCTCGTCTTGGTTTCCATCCTCCCCAGCCTCAGTGTGTGATGGTGAACGCTGCTGGCAGCTGTGTTAGAGAGTCACACTCTGCAGTTTACTGCCCCTGTCTCTCTTTTTGAGGCCTGATGTGATGGGGCATCGAGCAGCTCACACACATTTGTTACCGACACACTGGAAGTGTGACCGCTGCCGAGTCGTGCCTCCAACCAAAAAAGAAGACGGCTCAGAAACGTGTCCCTCTGCCAGGATGATTCACTCAGAGGAGAGAAACTGTCAGGTTATTTGTCAGTGAGAGTGCCACACACCTATAACGTGAAGCTGTCCAGACACCTCCTTTGAGCCAAAACTGTTGGTGACCTCGCAGGCGTAGCTGCCGCTGTCCTCCTGCCTAAGGTCGCTGATGGTCAGCCCGGTCAAGCGCCGAGTCCAGCGGGCGTCCGAGGGCAGAGATCGGCCATCTTTCAGCCAGCGCACGGTTGGGCTTGGGTAGCCGCCCGCTATGCAGGGGAGCTCGATGCTCTGGCCCGCGTACACCTCCCCGGCTTGGAAACTGTCCAAGATGGTGGGCGAGGACTCGCTAGGGTCTGAGGGGGGAGATGGAGTTTAATAAAATAACAAAAGTAAAACAGACCAGATTAAAAGAACCACAATTCTCACCCATTACTGAAAGCCTGGCCCCGTTGCTTTGCCGTGTTTCACCGCTGTACTTATGCTTGGTGATGCAGCGGTATGTGGAGAGGGCGTCTTCTTTCTGAACATCAGAGATGTAAAGAGCTCCAAAGGAGGTCAGAGAGAAGCGGTTACCTGAGGAGGAAGCATGGGACACAGAGCAATAATGACTCATTAAAGGAAAAGTGGGAGTTCAGGGATATTATTTTAACAGAAGCTAATGGTTCCATTTGTCTACAAAAGTCAAAACTTTTTACTTCCAAGTCATAAATTTTAATTGGAAACAGGCCTGAAACAATTAATCGTAATTCATTGATTATTGAATTATAATTATATATTATATTATAATCATCAACTAATTTAGAGATCAATTAATCATTAACTGGAGACACATTTTGCTGAAAGAGTGACCTACTTAAAGCTGTCATTATATCAAATTTTTGAAAATATTTGTAAACATTTTGCATTTAATCAATCCAAAATGTATTAATATAGCACTTTACAACAACCAGCAGGGTCCCAAAGTCCTTAATAAAATAAGTAGAGTCACAACATACAATAGAAATAGTGAACATAGAAAACATTAAAAACAAAAAGGTTACAAAGAATAAAATTATCACCCCACTGCTATGTATCAAAAGCCAGCCTGAACAGATATGTCTTTACTTTGGACCTTAAAAGAGCGATATCTGCCACAGTGCGAATATCCGGGCTAACGTGTCTCGGGGCATAAATTGCACAGTTTATATCTCAACTTTGGGTCTTCTAAAACCAGCTGACTTGAAGACCGCAATGAACGGTTATGCTGCCGCGAAGTAAAAATGTAAAACAAATACTCTAGGGCGAGACAATTTAAAGCTTTAAAAACAAACAATAAAATCTTTAAAACTATTCTAAAATGCACCAGGAGCCAATGCACAGTATAGAGAAAGGAAGTGACCTGTGCATGTCTGGATGTATTAGTTAGAAAGCAAGCAGCAGCATCTTGCACAAGTTGAAGGTGTGAGATGCTCATTTTTATAACATTACTGATTTTTACCAGCCGATCTGGTGTAAGGGGCCAAAGCTCCCGAACTCAGAGCTGGGCCATTCTGCGTACCTGGAGTACTGAAAATAATCCATTTTGTTTTACTTTCATTCAAATTAAGAAAATTGTCTGAAAGAAACAACTTAATATCAGTAATACGACCAAGCAAGAAGTTTACTGTCCTTTGCTTTCATAAACAAATAGATTTGTAAATCATCTGTTTTACAATGAAATTACAGGTTGTGCTTCCTTGATCGCTCCTAAAGGCAGCGTATATAAAGAAAACAGAATAGGACCAAGAATAGATCCCTGTGGTACCCCAAAAGAGAGAGTAGCAATTGACAAAAGAGACGTCACCAATCATAACAGAAAAGTTCCTATTTGACAGGAAGGAGCAGGACCATTTAAGTGTTGAGCCTATCTTTAAGATAAAAAGAACTTTCCGTCTGTCAATATGCTCTATCCAGAACTCCTCAAGTGTAATAGTTTTAGTTTCACCTGGTTTCATTTAATAAAAAGTCTTCTTTAGAGGCGTGCTTTGGTGGAGCAGGGGTTAGCACACATGACCCATGTACGGAGGCCTTAGTCCTTGATGCGGCCGACCCGGGTTCAAATCTGGCCTGTGGTTCTTTGCCGCATGTGTCTCCCCCTCTCTCATAACCCTTTCCTGTATGCCTACTGTCCAAAAAAACTTGCCAACAGTGCAGTAAACCCTCCCCCAAAAGTCTTCTTAAACCAATCTTTAACCCTAACCCTTATATTAATAATATCAAATTATTAATTGATTATCCAACAGATTAAATGATTTGCAAAATAAATTTCGGTTGCAGGTACAATACAAAACGTCGAATCACGAGTCGGAAATTTGGTGCAACAGGATGGTTCCACATCCAAAATGGATGCTACCCCCATTACTACATGGACCATTTATAGCAGTCAGACGTTAACAGCATTAATCAGTGGATCAGGTACTACAGGAGGACGATAAGTTTCAGTGCTAGTTACATGCATAGAATGGTCTTGTTTCTCTCCTAGAGAGCTATGTGCTAAGTCTTTACTCTCATTGAGTGACTCATTCCTTCTTTTTTGACACAGTAAACGATTCTTAGCTCATTTCCTTAACCGTTTTTTCTCAATTCTACTTCCAGACCAAATGTGTTTTCAGAATCTAGGGCGTCTGGTCTGATGTTGGAGTAGGAAAATCTTAATTTTTGCAGCTGGATGCAGACCAGCAGAAAACGTTTGGGAAACAGAAGCTACACGCAAGCCGTGATCACTTCTACAGAGCAAATAAATCAATATAAAGATGCCAAACTCAATTGGTTTTACAAAAGCCAGGAGGATGGATTATTTTGGATTATCTTATTATTATTACTCCACTTAAATATATTGTTACTAAAAAGTGGCGAAACAGATTAATACCTACATTGACAAAAATGTTTAAAATCTACCAGGGGAAAAGTTTGATACTTGCATTTTACCACAAACCTAAAATATGCTTTTTAACCATTTTTAGATGGGAAATTTCCGACAGTTGGCTGCAGAGAGCTTTTCCTGTGGACCCCCCACCTGCCCCGTAAGGTGGGGGGACAGTGCTGTAGCTCTGACACGCGCCAAAATGAACAGAATACAGACTGTAAATTATAAGAAAAGAATAGAGCAGCTCAACAACCAGTCTCACTTCATAATGCACAAGCATCCAAAATGCCTGGTCCAGCTGGAGGTTTCTTCCTGTTAAAAGGATGTTTTTCCTCCCCAGTCGCTGCATGCATGCTCAGTGTGAGGGATTGCTATAGAGCCAACAAATTAAAGGAAATAACCAATGCTCATCCAGGAAGAGAGAATCCTGCAAAGTCAATGACTGGATGCAATCAGCTAGTTTCAGCTAGCAACCCGCAGCTCCAGAGGCTCCCTGGAGCTATTTCAAAATTGTATGAAATTAATTTTTTTTCTTTTCTTTGTTTTAAGATGGTCTACAGGAGGTCAAACGAACATTAGTTATGTTTGTAATGCTGTAAAAAAAAAGTAGACTAAATACATTTAAATAATAAATGTAAACATTTCTGTAAAGGAGGATTTGACTGATAGCCTGCAACATGTTTCAGCACGGTGCAATGCCAGGCACGTGGCTTTTGTAAACAAAGTGGCCGGCGCGTCCATGGATCCAAAACGGAAAAAAAGGAAGATAGCGGATGAGAAAAGAGGATTCAAATAACAATGGACTGAATAATTTGCTTTCATTACCAATGCGGAAGGATTGCCTGCATGTTTCCTTTAAAAGAGAAGTTTTCAAATAATAAAAATCATTTGGAAAGGCATTTCCAGGGAAGGCATGTTAAGCATGCAGCCAACCACCAAGTTGGGAGTGAGAGAAAAAGTATGATTGCAGAACTTCTGGAAAAGATAGATTTAAGAAGTGGATTGCATCTCCAAACTCCACTACTTCTGCTAGTTTGGTTGCAAGCACAAAAGAAACGTTCACAGATCCAACAAGTAGCTCTCTGATGCAGGGATGGGAACTTTCTTCTTCCAATAAATCTGAACTGATGTTTAAAGTCGTAGTGAAGCGGCTGTTCCAACGGTTGCATTTCCGAATTCTCCCGAGTGGTGCCCGACATTACATGAGTGAATAAAGTGAATTTGATTGGTCATTTATCAAGGGGTCGGGATTCTTGTGGCGGAAGGTTCGCAAGCAAGTTTGGTTTTAGCCGGTTTGTCGGAAGCATCTTCCTCACCAGCTAGCAACTTAGTGCTAGTAGGTTCCCAATGGGAAATTACACTGGGATCAAGTAGCATTTAGCAACAACACTGTTAAGGATGGACAGAGGAAACATGCAAGAGGAGGAGAGTTTTGTGTCGGAGGTAATGGAGGAGTCTCCTCCGTCATACATTTTCTATTTAGAAGAAGAAAGCGAGGATGAGGTTGTTGTGGAAGAGGACGCCAGGGTGGCAGAAGCTTGGTTTGGTGTAGAAGGCTTACAGCCGTACATGTTTGAGCCCTTGCCTCTCAACGCTGCCAGTTCTGTTAGCTCTAAGCCTGCCGAGCACACAGATGTCCATCCCCGTGAACACTTGAACATAACTCAATGGTACAGTAAATGATTCTTATTTCAACTGTTGCGTATATTAGCTGCGACATCTGAATAAAGATGCTATGACCAAAAAAATGTAATTTACAGATGACCGTTGATATATGATTGGCCAAATTAAGGTGTACAGGCTGACGTATAATTAACTGGCCTGCATAAGATAACGGGGAAAAAAACTGATTTTAAGACAGAAATGTTCTAACTTTCGGGACAATATCGTCTGACAAAGAGTACATTTTAGTTTAAGCCAGAATGATTTGACATTTAAATATCACTTCCGTACGACTTTAAAATATTTCCCTACTGATGAATTAATAGTTTAAAACCTGAAGTGAAATTCCTGGTAATCTGTTTAGTTTTAATCTGTAAAGATTATCACCTGTCCTCTATAGGATCAAGCTGGTAGCATAGTATTAGTATGCCTATAAGCATTGATATCTGACCTTAAATTCCTGTGTTTTTAAGTCAGGAGGCTGAGCTGATTCGCTGAAGGTGGCAGTTAAGGAGCGTTTCTCTCACTACATCATGACCTTAGAGGAGGCACAGGCTGCAATTTCACAGCAGCCTTTGTTTGCCCACCAGAATGAAGCCTTACAGGATAATAAGCACTTTAAGTCTGCTACTCTCACAACACCGAAGACATGCCTGTCACAACACCCTGACACAGGCGGGGGGAGAGAGAGAGGCTGCAGGAGAAAAGGGTGGAGGGGGGGAGTCAGCTGGATCTGTCAAAGCCACACTTTTTGTTTCGGTCCCCAGGTTCTCTCCTCCGCAGCGGACTGAATTTGTCCCATCTGCAGCCGTGGAAACAACGCTGATTACACAACTGGAGTCAGATAATCCATCTCCGTGTCTGTCCATCCTAACCGGGTGGTTCACTGGCTGAATCTTGAGACGATTCTCCTCCTGTCTTTGAGTGAACTCTCATATCGTCTGTCTCACCTCTTTTATCCCTATCGCTTACGCAAGCCTTCAGTCTCTAAGCAGAGTGTCAGACGGAGTGAAATATTAATTACTAA